CACTCCCAGGCGTCTCCCCACACAGGAGATGGAACACATTCTGCTCCAGCCCGCTCAGTCCGGGGTTTGCTGCCCTCTGCTCCGGGTCTCAGCAGCAGGGAATCATGAACAGGTGCACAGGCTGGGAGAAGGCGTGGCCACGTCACACCCGAGCTCAGCCCAAACAACACACTACGGGGAGCTTTGCTTCACAGCGAACGACCAGCTCCTTGCTCAGACATGCACAGAGCTCACCTCTTAGCCTCTCCTCAGGTCTGCCTGACCCACTTCCCCTGTCTCGACCCTTCTGGTATCCCTGACAGAATCATCCCGGGGCTCCCCATCAGAGCCCTGACCCCTGGGCCTCTACCTGGGGTGCCTTCAGTCGTCCCGAGCTCCTCGGGCGCCGCCCGGCTCCCGCCGCACCTCCTGGAAAACCTCCTCTGTACTTCCTTTGACCTCGCCTCCGAGGGCCGGGAGAGTTTTAGAAGGCTGAGCACCACTGACCAAAGGGAACCCTAGCATCAGAGACCCCCAACCCCCAGGGTCTCCTTCCAGTAAGAGCCCACACTGATGGCCTGGGCGGGACAGCCAGCAGCCAACACGTGGATGGAGGCGAACACAGAACACACACCTCCCCCTGCACCCCCTTCCCCGCTTCCAGCCCCCAAGGGTCCCTCTACATCCACACTTGATCACAGGGCTGTTACCGCACAGAAAGGTGTGCAGCTGGAGAGAACCAGACTGCCCAGCCCAGGACTGATGGCCACCTTGCCAGGCGCCAACAGAAAGAGTGAGCCTGGGAAGACTGGGATTCGGAGGGACGGCAGGAGGGGCAGGGGCAAGCGAGCTGGTTAAGCCACACAGCCTGAGCACGACCGTCTGGAGCAAAGGGGAGCAGGGCGCGCCGCAGCGAGGAGGGCGCCGCGGCGAGGACGCGTGGCCTTGGGACGCAGCGCGGTGCCGGCGGGAACGGCCGGGACGCGGGCGCTGTGCTACTTGCAGTGGTATAATCTGGGGCAAGTCACTTTATCTAAGCCTCCATTTCCTCATTTGGAAAAGAAGAAAATCTCTAGAAACTAACCTCTAAGCAAGGGCTTGTGGTAACTCTACCAGCAGAGTAAGACATGCCACTTCCTCTCTGGGGCTGAGGCTCACTGCTAGGAGCGCGCTGTTTTGCCACAACAAGCCAGGTGGTTTGGAGAGCTCCCTGGGCTCCAGCGCCCCCAGCAGGAGGGGAACAACCATCCAGGCCTGCACTACTTCACTGAGATGCCAGAGCAGACGGGGAGAAACAGGAGGGGGGCCGTGCACAGCACGTGTGGCAGGAGCGCCAGCAGGGGCCCCTCACCCCCACGGCAGGGCCCAGGGCCCAGCCAGCCGGGGCCTTCCAACGGCTTCCTCTCTCAGGCTGCCCTCTGGGAGGAGGGCACCACCAGCTGCCAAGAAGACGCCTTGGGTGAGCGGCGAATTCTCCTTCCCTAAAAAGGATTCCGAGGCCATCTCTATACGCAGCCACCTTCCTGAGGGGCCCAGCTGGCGTCGATTAGGAAAGGCGTCGGTGAGGCAGCCGACAGCAGACGGCGGCGGGCGCGGGGCAGGGCTCGCCAGGCGCAGGCCCAGCGTGAAGGAAGGGAGGCGAGTGAACACCCGACGGGCAGACGCTGCCGGCAGGGACAAGAGGCCTGGCGCGTGCCCTGCCCGGGAGCACCTCCCCACGTGCACAGCCCCCACCTGGGGGGCTCCTGCTCCCTTTACTCAGCCAAAGCCTCCCCAGCCTTCCTTCAGCATCCCGTCAGGCCAGGCAGGCAGTGCGCACTCAGAAAATCTAGCCAAGTGAAAAAGCATGTGCCTTGGTTTCCCACTGACATCTAAGCAGCCCAGAAAACACTTTAAATGCCAAAGCTTCCTGTGTTTACACAGCCGCTGACAGTCCGAGCCTGTCCCGCTAGGCTGGAACTGGTCTAGGGCAACCTGCAGTCAGAAGGCCTGGACTCCAGTTTCATTCTGGACTTTGCACCCATCGGTCGGTGTAGCAGAAAAAGGCTGTGGGCAGGACACAGCTGGGTGTCATCCGTGGCTCTAGATGGGGTGTCACTGTCACCTCAGAGACCACCGCCGTAAGGCAGCCATCTGGGAACTGGCAGGCATGCCCACGACGCGGCCCCTGATACTTTTTCGGCATTTTCCTTCCTCTGCACCATTCCCGACTTCTCAGCCTGCAGCCCCCAGCCCAAATGACCCATCTAAACTGCAGGCCAGTGGCGAGCCCAGGGACGTGCAGGGACTCCTGAAGACAGAGACCCTCCATGCGTACTCAGTAAAGGATCAAAGTAGGAGAACCTTAGCACACAGAAAGAGACCGGGTTTCCGGACAGTGCTAGGCAGTGTCCCGGCCGTGGCCGGGTGGCAGCAGCAGATGCTCCTGCATCTCCCACTCCAGCGGCTCCCCCCACCACCACCACCCCCCCGGCAGAGGCAGCATCGCTCAGCTGCAGGAGCGGCAAAGTTCTGCCCAGGACGAGCAAGGCCCTCCTTAGGAGGTGCCAGCTGTTAGGCTGCAAACAAATGGTTGACCGAATGAGGCAAAGATCCTACCCAGCAGCCCGAGCCGGGAGCAACGTGCTATCCTCCGCCAGGATGTCAGTTACACAACTGCTCCTTGGATTAAGAAAAGCCTTTCGACTCCAACGACGAGTCTATCTTCTGCCTCCCTGAAGGTAACACTCAAGCCTTGTCCACATGCAAGCTTAGATCATTTTCCAAGTTCCATCTGTGCTCCCTACAGAGCCCATCACCTCCTGCACACCAGGGGTGCCCCTGCCCACTCGTCTCAAGGAGGCCTCTGCAGACAGTGTGTCCACCCATCATTCAGTCCAACAATGGCAACGGCGCCATCTACCCATTTTTTTCTGCTGAAAAGCAACTCATCAAACTCTGACTCCGTAAACAGACAAATGGGTAAGATAGATGCACACAGGGATGTCCGCAGAGAGGCACGGACGGATGTGGTTTTTCCTAAGCCTGACAGAGGGAGGCCTCGTGTGGTGATCAGCACAGGTGTTTCTCCCCCAAAGTGTCAAAGCAAGCTAGAAGAGATGTCACGGGAGTGCTGTCAGGGGAGCAGCGGAGTCCACGGCACTAGAGGCTTGCCAGCGGTCTCCCGGCCCTTCCTTCCCATGGTTCACAGTAACTGGCTCTCCACCTGCCAACCACGGCTGAGCTCTGAACACTGCATTCATGGGCAGCTAAAATCAAACACCAGGCTGGCTTTTTGTTGTGTTTAAATGCACTGGTAGGAAGCTTGGATTCAGTAGGTAGATATTCAAAGCTCAGCCCTTGGGAAGTTCTAAGCACCCTCAAATCTCACAGCAAGAAAGTTTACAAGACTGGCTGCTGATTTACCCACACGGCAGAAACGGGAGGAGTTCCATTCAGCCAGGACCCACAGCAGCCGCCCCAGGCTTCGGCTGTGTTTCTGTCTCAGCCCTGGAGCTAGCAGCTCTCTCCCACAGCCTGGGGGCAGCCCACACTTGTCAGTGCCCAGGAACCAACACAGCAGCACCCCGCGCAGGCCACACCCCTCAGCACAGCCTCACCTCCTGCACAGACCGCCTGCCACTCTCACAGGCCACGTTTACTGAGTCTCTCCCCACACAAGGGCCTGTTGAGAGCATGTACACTGATTAACTAATTCCTCTAATCCCCAAGTCCCATGTGCATGTGCCAGGACCAGAGAAACACTTGGCCCAGATTCCCACAGGGTTTCTGTTCCCTATTTCTAGCTGTGCTGTAAAGCTTACATAACCTAATTTGCATTATGGTACTATTTTTAAAAGCCTCCAAAGACCACTGCTTCAAGCATCAATGGAAACTGTTAGCTGCTACCTGGAATGATGATGTCGGAAAACAAATCTACGCTCGCAACTCAGCTTCAGTTCTTGACTTAGACAGTCTTTCTGGAAGACGCTCCCAGGAAAGCAACTTCTCTCTACTGCACGAGAGGTCCTGGCTCTGTGCTCTGCAACCAGTGCGCGAAACGCAACACTAAACTTGCCTCAGCAGAGTTTCTGGCTCTGCGGTTGGTATCCCTGTACTGTCTCCCTCCCAGGCCTCCTGGTAGTCCTGAGAAACCCATGGTCACTGGACAGCGCGACATCAAATCTTCACAGAGTGCGAGTGGGACACTGCAGAACCTCTCCTACTCTGAGTGATTTCATAGCGCACCTCCCCCGCCCAAGGAGGCACTGGCCAAGATGAACGCGAATCAGGACGCCCACTCCTAGAGCAGGCTTGTTTCCGGCTGCCCCTGCTGTGAAAGCCCCTGGCTTGTAGGGCTCTGAATTGCTAGAAATCCGATTGCTGGGGTTGGGTGGGGTCTCTGCTGTCTCCCTTTCCCCGAGCTAGCTATTCCAGACCGTCCTGCTCCAGCGATTGCTGAAATCCAAACAGGGACATGAAATGATCAGCCACTGCTGAGGGCGTAGACAGCCACCTTGTCCTTTGCTTTACTGCAGAACTACGAAGGAGGGCTGGAGTGTTGGTTTTTGTTTGTTTGTTTGTTTGTTTTTAAATTCGGCTCACTTACTGATTGGACAGAGGTCCATGAACACGAACCAGGGTAGGTTTCAGGCTCTCAAAACTGCCAGGGAAATACTTTAAATGAGTGAGTTTCCAAGCAATACCCATTATTTCAGTGACAACAGAAGGCCTACATTATTAAGCATCTTAAAACGGAACAATTAAGTTAATGTTCTTCTGCCACAAGTAGGATATTTACAAGAGGCTCAATTCCACCGACACGGGGACGGTCAGCCAGAAAATGCTTTCGAAGGTCAGCGCCTCTGGAGGCAGCTGGCCTCCGCCAGGCCCGGCTGCACTCAGGCCAGGCAGCCACAACGCACACAGCCTTTCACAGCTGCCAGAGCCGCATCGAAGGTACATACAGATTCTGTACGGGGAAAAGTTGTTCCAGCAACCTTCAAGTTAGTAAGAAAAAGAAACTGCTACTTAGAAACAGATACAAAACATGAAAATTCACTTTAATCTCCGTGTGTGTTCACAGACCTCAGCACAGAACATCTGATACATAAGAAGGTGCATCTATGCGACACATGAAATGAAGTCAATCCTTGTTAAAATGGTCGGCCTACCCTCCCAGGAACTGCTGACCGCCGAGTGAGAGGGAGTTGAGAGGGAGAGGCCCTGGCTGCGGCCTAGGGGAGGCAGCGGGACTGCTCAGTCTATCTGGTCTGTGCAGACTCAGTATGCAGCACTCTGAGTCTTGCTGAAGTGTGTCCTACAGAGAATCAGCTCATCTCAGTCAATCACGTGTTTTTCCATAGTTACCTTAATATTTTGGTTTTTTTTTTCATTTTCTATTGCTTTTTTTTTATGGCTTCTTGCTGTCGTTGTATTGGGACATACAACACAGATCAGAGATTTTCATTTCTCAGAGAAGCTTCTCTCCTTGAGAAATTGGCACTTGATCCTCAGCTTGTACAATCACTACTTACATGGATCCTTCCAGCACTGTCACCAATCTTGTTACGTATGCAACTCCAGTGCTTTGGACAAGAGTGCCCTGGCATTCAATGTATCTTAGGAGAACTGGTCTACCACTGAATTCTCGTTCGTATTCAAACAGGTGCATGTGTGTAACTTACATACACATCGCACCCTGAGTTTCTACACATGTACACACATTTAACTCGAGGAAAGTGAAATCACTCTCTGGACTAAAAAGCAGTTACAAAGGTAGTAAAGCAAATACTGAAAATAACAATTTCACATTTACACCATCAAATTTTTTAAGGTAATGTGATGACATAAGACCTAGGAGATCAAACACATCATATATGATTGTCATATATGCATGTTGTGCTAGCTGATTATTTTTCTCTTTAATCAGAAAATAAAAGAGCTTACCTTCGCACACTGAGGTCACAGCTTACAGTCACTATGCCTCAGCCTACTTTACACAAGTGATATGGCTACGAAGGTCCGAGGAGAACGAGAATAAAGTGAGATAAACGTGCTGAAAACTGCTTAAAAGTATTAACCTGAAATACACAGAGGGTCCAACACCAGTTTTAAAAATACATTAACGAGGTATTCCCAGCTCTTCAATTAATAAAGGTGACTGATTCATGATTTTCAAACATTCACCCAAATTTTTAAACAAGAAGAAAAGACTGACAGCAGCAAACTCCGTCAGTGGTCTGTTCCCCAGGTTAACAACTTAGAGAGACTGCACACGACTTCGGGAACTCTGCAAACCCAATGCCTTTGCTTCACCGTCCCATGCACTCCATCTGCGCAGCAGGAAGTACGCTGGACACCTGCCTCGCACAAGGGATGGGGTGTTCCTGCAGCCTGAAGACACAGGCTGCTGGCCACAGCCCTGCTGAGGCGCCAGCCCCCACAGCGAGGATATGGCTTCAAGGAGGGCCCATGTTTCTGAGAAATTATAAGATGCTAACTGATGCAGTCAGGGATGTTAACTATTAAATTTATAAGCTAAAAAAGGTTAAAAAACGGTCAGCTCACACACTAACTCTAAGTTCTAATTGGTCTGTAAACTCTCTGACAAAAACTACGTTAAATAAATAGGGTTAAGTACAGATATTGCTAGGTTTCCAAAGAGGTTTTAAAACAGACACCGTGGCTTTGAACCAAGTATTGCTCTTCGTTAAAATGCTCAGTCATTGCTTTCAAAAAGCAGTTGTCAGAGTAGTGTATCTGAAAGCTGGAAAGCCTCCAGGTGTCACATTGCTCTGGGACCGAGACACAGGAATTGCCATTTCAAGCCAGACAACCTGATGGTTCTAGAAGTCAGAGAAGAAATCTTGAGGGCCCAAGTGAATAATAAATGGTGCGACGCTCAGAGGCTGGCGATAGGGGCTCTCAATGAAAAAGCCACCTACAGTGGAGAGAAGAGCAGAGAAGCAAGACTGCATGTTAATGTCACACAGCGCGGCGAAGCCAACAGCTTCGTTTCTAGTCCTCTGCTCTCTCGGCTGTAAGTGGGATTTTCATTACAAAATGGAGGGGTGGGAAGGGTCAAGGAGGGGGACACTTAATTCATTACAGAATTCAAACAGTTGAACTTGCATGGTTACCACTTCTAACAAAGGACTGACAGCTCGATTATTTTAAGTAAAGCAGAGAAATGTAAAAGTTTGCAGCAACTGGGCAGGTTTACAACATGGTTAGTAACTTCCAACAAACAACAAAATTAAAAAGAAAAAAAAAAAGACTTGGTAGAAACCATTTGAAATGACTGCCATCATGTTGGAAAACAGCACAGCTCCCTTTTCACCACCATGGAGGGGTTGAGTTATGAAGCAGAGTTAGCCACTTCAAAAGAATTTTCTACAGAGCAATCTCCAGAGATTCCAACTTGGAACCCAAATTTGATATTCAATTTCAGATAAAAGTGCAGCTGCAGCTGCCAATTAATAGTGCTCCAGAAACAAAGAGGACTGTGGTAAATATTTACTTAGTGAAAACCGGACACTACCAGCCATGCTTTTTCTTCTCAGTGATGGCTGTTTCATCCATAGGTCAGCGAAACAAATCAACGCACATGAACACTCGCAGCAGAAACGGGCCCTCTGGGTCACGTCTACCACTTATGCACAGGATGAGAACGATTCAGTTACAGCTATTTCCAGCAAGTGATGAGGTTTTATTAAAGTATCACCCACCACTAATAAAGACAAAAGGTCAAGGAGAAGAAATGAATACTGGTGTAACATGCAACTGAGAAGTGACAAGAATCCTTGTCTTACATTGCCCATTTCACCCTCAGTTAGTGGTCCCGAAATACTCTGGTGTGTAAATTTGCCGTATTTTATGAAGCTCTTTCTCACCGATGGGCACTGTTCAGTTCTGAGAAGCAGAACTTAACAGGGAGAAGCAAAGCTGCTTTCCACTAAGAACAGACATGTTTAAGACACAGCCACTTGCAAATATGGACAGGGGACCACACTGTTGCCTTCATGGGGGTGACTACCTTAATGAAACCATTACCTTCTAGTAACATCATCAGCTTTCCAAACAAGGTGAGAATGCAGGTGGAGGACTTAGGTCTGCACCTTTACAGAACAGCACAATGTTACTGACTCGTCAGTTTCCACCAGCGGAATCAGGTGTCTCAAAAAATAAATGCTGACCCATGGCTGAAACCTGTCACTTTTCACAGCAGCACTCAACAAGAACTGGGACAATCGAAGAGCAAGTTTTTATGGGGACCCTGTTGCTGCTTTAGATTCTGATGTAATTGAAGAGGAAAGGAGACCTTTCCAGCAATCCCAGAGAAATCGCTAATCTTCTATCTGCATGAAAAGAACCAGGGAGGGAACACAGTGTCTTACAGAGTGAAGAAGGCCACAAGAACAAGAGAGGGTGCTTGATTGTTTAATTTATTTTTTAAAACTTGGAAATTAGGAATCTAAAATAATCACATCGCTCCTTCTCCATCTCTGGGTAGTGCCATCATTTTATAAGCAACGCTCAGGAAACATAAGTAACTTTTATCACGGGGATTGCCCTTTACAACAGGGACTGTGCAAAGGGCTTACAAAGTAGAGACTGGCTCCAACTAACAATCGCCTTTGCTTTGTTTTAGCGGTTTGCTTACAAATGAATGGGTTTCTAGGGCTAAGATAGTATTAGTTTGCAATTCTTTGTAATTTGATACCAAAACATATCAAAAATAATAAGCTAAAACAATATTCAAACCCATATTTTATTGGCTTTAATTACACACTTCAATATTTACAAAGTTAAAGTTTAAATGAAAATTCTCTATTGTAATAAAAAAAATAACTACAGCCCGAATTAAAGTGCCCTGGGGCCAGTCCATGTCAACCAGCTGAGAATCGGTGACTGCGTCAGGAACCAGGCAGTACTATGCGTTACAACAAAGCAGTTTATTTGTGATCAGTGTCTAAGACTCTATACATCCTTCACAAATTTAATCTTACATAATCTGATACTTCTCTTAAAACTTAAAACTTTGAACTGCTAGACTTTTATTTCCCTAGAACAGAAGGGCTGGTATAAATTATTTTCCAGAAATGAGGTACCGTTTCACAGAACTGGTTTCTTTTTTGTTTGTTTTCAAGTTTTAGACAACTAAATTTGCATTTGTTAAAATCAAAAAGTAGGAAAGATGTTTTTTACAAATAATTTTGATCAAGTATGTGTTCAAAGAAAGCAGGATAAAAAGGCTTTTCCTCTAACATTCTGTATTGTATGGTATTGTTCAATAGGAATTAACTTCTGTCATTGGCTAAAAGAATGAGTAGTGGGGCACAGGATATGTTGGGAATTTCATAACGGGTAACAGAACCATTCTCTTGGGTAAACCTACAGAGAAAAGAAACGGAGAGGACTCCAAATAAGTTTAATATGCCAATAAAAATTTCAGGTTAAAAAAATTATTGAACAGTAATTACCATTAACCTTTTCCAGATTAGTCAGTCAACATGTACCATTTTGGAAGAGGCCCCCAAATCTCAGATCTCTTATTTTCAAAGTGCTCTCAGTATTCTGATACTTTCCACTCAAAATGAAGATGGCTACATCATAGGAAGAGTGATATTCAGAAAATATTTGAGCTGCCATGAATTCTAAAGATCAAAAGGAATGCTATTAATACTCTACAGTGAATCTAGAAATCTATAATGGCTCTCAATTTGGCACATCACATATTATGGGAAAACAAGGGATTGTCAGGATTCAGAGCACAGCTTTCTGTGCAGGCCTCAGCTCCCCTCAGCTCCAACTGGAGCCATGACCAATATTGGCATGGCAAATCTGGAAAGAGTACGTTCTGAATTTTGTAATTAATAGTTCTTGTGGCCTACAAACTTCTGCATACTCAAGCATGATTTGAAATCTGCTCCTACTTCTATTCTAATATTGACCCTAGGGAGAAATCACAAAGCAGCAACAGCAGGTATTCAAGAGCACCAGATGATCAGAGGGAAATACCCCACATGCAACAGCTTTACAAAGGCCAAAAGACATATTTACCTTACAGCCAAAATAAAGCATCGTTTTAGTAGGTTTGCATCACAGTAACATTTAAAAACCAAATCTTTTATGTGAAAAATGGGGGCATCCAATGTCACCAGCTTTGGAAGTCAGTTATATGGCACAGGGAAGAGAGGAGCCTTCTCCCATGGAGGCTCAAAGGCCGCAGGGTGAGAGCAGGATGTTACGGGAGGGAAGGGAGGGACGAGAGAAAAGTAAAAAGACTGAGCGAAAACATGAATGTAACTGAAAGGTCTAGATAGAAAGCTGCTGTAAAGGGGAAATCAAGCTCTAGCAAACCTTAACTGAAGAATCTGGAGCTTACTCTGTGTCTACAGGAAAGACACAGACTTAACAACCTGCCCTGGGCGGCAGCTGCTTGGGCACTCACACAGACACAGCACAGTGAGTGGAAATGTACTGTATGTGGGTAGGTTGCCTTTACCTGCTTCACAGCAAGGATGAGGTGGTCATGCTACCCACAAGCTAGCCAAATGGTAAAAGCAAATGGCCAAACCAAAAGGAGCTAGCGAGTTTGAGTACAGAAAGAAATCTAGGTGAAAGCATATTCTTGGATTGGACCCAATTCCCAAGAACCGCACATTGCTCCAGCTCTGACCGACCTGAGTGTGCCAGTGGAGGCGTACAGGTAAAGGATATAACTCTGGGCTCTGCACTTTGACTTAAAAGAAAAACTACTGCACATGGGCCACCCTGCAATGTCTCCACATCTTTCCAGGATTTAAACTGCCTATCGTACTAATGTTCACACTTGGTCAAATCATTGCTTATTGCTACAGTTATAAAATCAGATGAAGCTTCAGTTTATCAGTGCCTTAACACCCAAACGAGGATGGGAAAGCAGGTGCATGAAGAGAAAAGGCAGAATGTGAAGGTCTGAGGCTCGTGTGGGGACTCATGCCACGAGTACTGACACATGGAGCGCCTCTGCCTCCTGTGTGTGCACGCCCAGCCAGGGGCGGACTGACAAACAAGCTCTCCCACACATGCACACGCACTCTCACTCTCCTCTTCCCCCAATGACAACCACTAGAGATGGCTGATTCTACAACACGTAGCACCTAAGTTAGGAAAAATGTCTCAGAGCATATCACTGACTCCAAACCTACTGCCTCCATTGCCACATAAACCTCATTCAAAAGTTATCCAAAGGGCCACTAGGCTTCATTTATGCATTTGCTTTTATTTTTCATTTTTAGGGAGAGAAGAGACACATCTACAATTTTCTAGCATGTACTACTGACTTTCTGCAGTAAACGCTTGAGTAACTGCTGATGAATCCCCTAAACCCTCCTCTCTAGAACCAAAAACACCCATTTACTTCACCCCCAAGCAAAATTTATGGAAAGGGGTGACAGCTTCAAATTTGAAGTGAGCACTCCACTCCCTATTCTTGATCCCAATCATTCACAGTTCATACAATTGCAAACTCGAAACTTAACTGCAGCTCTCTGTCTGGAAGGCAGCCATGCCAGAAACTGAGTATGGCCCTTCAGTAGCCTTTGAATGGAGTGTAAGTTGGCTGTAAAAAGAACTACTTAAAATATTTAATCTCAGTATGGTCAGAAACAGGCAATTAGAACAAGCAGTCCTTCAATCAGGCAAAGCAGAGAGAAGAGCAACTCCAACCAAACCAAGAACCACAAGGTTGTGGCATTTTCAAAGGGAATTTAAGTTGGGTCACTACAATGATTAGGTCTGAGATCCTTCAATTTATTTACAGAAACCCTAAGTACAAACTGTGCTTTGGAATGCTGTGAAAGAGTTGCTAAGAGGAGAAATCAGTAAGATAGTGTACATACCATAGGCAGGGGCAGCTGTGCTGTAACCATATGGCGTTCCATAGCCTAATGCAAAGAAGAAGACAGCAGGTCAGTCCAGGACCAAGGGCATTTGGCATTGGCCCAGTTCTCCAGCAGCACCTAGCCTGGGCCCTGAGGATCTTCTTCCAGATGCTGGATGAATGAGAACCATGCCTAGGTCAGTCCCACCTAGCCACGCTCTCTCGTGCCTGCTTAGATTCTCAGCATGGCTTTCAAGATTCTTCTTGATCTACCAGGATATCCTATGTGTCTCATTCACTTCACTTCCACGCTGTACTTATTCTTTGTCTGTGGTCCCCATTAGAGTAGCAGAGACCAAATTTATTCATCTTTATACCATATGAACCTAGCAGAACATACAGCACATAGTAACCACTCACTAGATAGAATTTGTTGACCAAAAAAAAAAAAAGAACACCTAAGAACCACTCATAATTTCTGGAAGTTGGAAAGCAGTACTTTCTACATCTCTATTTTAGAAAGCAAGGACAGAACACATAAGACAAGACTTCAAATGCCTTGAAGAGGTCACACAGGTCAGGTTGTGAGCCTAGGGGCGAGATCCTTAATTTGATGATATCTGAATTCTTAGCCCCAGCATAGGATCTTCCTAGTAAATGCTGAACTTAACATTAGCATCTGCTGCCAATGAAAAAGGCTCACAACAAAAAGAGACAATTTTGAGCTAGTAAATTCTGGCACTAATGTCTTGTCTTTCCTCAGAGTAATAATTTCTGAGTTGCCATTTCTTAATTACAAAGTGGGAAACCTCCTAAGCTACTTTTTAGTGTTGTTGCAGGAATCAGAAATACTATGTTCATAAAAGCTGCAATCTTTAATCTTTCAGGAAAACAACTTTAACACATGAAAATACAGAATCAATTGGGTAAATTTAGAAGAATTTGCTTACTAAAACAAAAGGCAAAAGGGGCCGGCACTGTGGCACCCTGCTTAGGTAAGCTGCTGCCTGCAATGCTGGCACCAGTTTGTGTCCCATCAGCTCCACTTCCAATCCAGCTCCCTGCTAATTGCCTGAGAAAACAGCAAAACATAGCCCAAGTGCTTGGGCACCTGCCACCTATGTGGGAGACCCAGAAAAAGTCTGGCTTTTGGCAGCGGCCTGGCCCAGTCCTTGCCATTGCCGCCATTTGAAAAGTGAATCAACAGAAGATCTCTCTGTAACTCGGCCTTTCAAATAATTAAATAAATCTTTACAAATAAAATAATACAAAGCAAGAGGAGGAGGCAGGCTTTGGTGCAGCCGTTGAGATACCCACATCCCGTACTGGAATGCCTGAATTCCAGTCACAGCTCCGTGCTCCAACTTCTTGCTAATGAACACCTGGGTAGGCAGCACGTGTTGACCCAAGTAACCTGGGTCTTGCTACCCACATGTAAACCGGAACTGGATGCATCCCAGGCTTCTGGGCTGTTAAAGGTATTTGGGGAGCGAAGTAGTAGATGGAACATCTCACTTTGTCTCTTTCTCTCTCAGCCATTCACATAAGACAAAAAATAAATAAAATTTCTTTTTTTAAAATTTTTTGACAGGCAGAGTGGACAGCGAGAGAGAGAGACAGAGAGGAAGGTCTTCCTTCTTCCGTTGGTTCACCTTCCAATGGCCGCTACGGCCGGCACACCGCATTGATCCAAAGCCCGGACCCAGGTGCTTCTCCTGGTCTCCCATGCGGGTGCAGGGCCCAAGCACTTGGGCCATCCTCCACTGCACTCCCAGGCCATAGCAGAGAGCTGGACAGGAAGAGGAGCGATCAGGACTAGAACCCGGGGTGCTGGCACTGCAGGTGGAGGATTAGCCTACTGAGCGGCTGCGCTGACCTAAAATTTCTTAAAATAATAATATAAAAGAGAAAAAGAGAGGTAGGCATTATGATGCAGTCGGCAAAGCTGCCACTGGAGATGCCGGCATCCCACATCGAGCTGCCTAGAATCAATTCTGATCCAGCTTCCTATTAATGCACATGGGAGGCAGCAGACGAGGGATGAGTACTTGGGTCCTTGTCATCCAGCTAAGAGATCTGGATGGAATTCCTGGCTCCTTGCCTTGGTTGGGCCCAGCCCTGACTATTGTGGACATTTGAGGAGTCAGACAGCAAATGAAAGATCTCCCCCCCCCGCTCCCTCTGTTATTCTGTTTTCAAATAAATAAAGTAAAAGAAAAGAAAATAAATAAAATATAAAATCTACATGGCTCTTTGACATCAAAACAAATAAAGATTTTTCATATTACAACCCTTTTTTTAAAATGAGGGCAAATGATACGAAGGGACAGGAAGTTGCATTATGATTTTTTTAGAGATGTATTTATTTACACAAAAGGCAGAGCTACACAGAGAGAAGCAGAGAAAGAGCGATCTTCCATCTGCTGGTTTGCTTCCCAAATGGCTGCAACAGCCAGGGCTAGGCCAGGACGAAGCCAGGAGCCATGACCTTCATCCAGGTCTCCCAGGAGGGTGCAGAGGCCCAAGATATTGGGCTGTTACTTTCCCAGGTGCATTATCAAGGAACTGGATCAGAAGTGGAGCAGCCTGGACTCAAACCAATGCCCATACAGGATGCTGTCCCTGCAGATGGCAGCTTAACCAGCTATACAACAGCACCGGCCCCAGTAACTCCTTTTTCTAAAAACAATTCTGCTGTTTAAACTTTTTCCCTCTATATGACCAACTGCAACTCATCCTCGAGATCAAGACCAAATATCACCTCCTCCATTGTCTCCCAAGTCTGCTGGTCACTTCTTTGCCCACCCTTGTTATAGCTTACATCACATTGCACTGTGTTTCCTGACAAATCAGCTTCTCCTTCATCTGATTCCAGGTATTCCCTGGGGAAGAGGCTAGGTCTTAGTCATTTGTGAATGCCCAGGTTATTAATCTCCTGCCTGAGACAAAGCACTCAAATGTATGCTGATGAAGTGTTTTTAGAGACCAAACAATTCCAGGGGTTGAAAATTTTTTACTTTTTTTCAATACTTAAGTCATATAGAACTGTAAGTAGTACAACTCAGTCTTACTACTCACTAAATTATACATTTTAAGAGGACAGAAAGCAGCTGAATTAAGCAGTAGGAACAGGAGGTGATAGCAGAAGCCAAAGGACAAAGTAGCCCTTTGAGTATCACTAGAATTCCAAGGATTTTACCAAAACCTTCTTAAGGAGAGATGAAACCAGGCCAGCGCTGTGGCACAGCAGGATAAGCTACCACCTGTGACGTGACATCTCATAACAGGGCAGCACTTTAAGTCCCAGCTGCACTGCTTCCAAACCAGCTCTCTGCTAATGTACCTGGGAAAGCAGTGGAGGATGGCCCAAATTCTTGGGCCCCTGCCACCCTCTCGGGAGACCTCATTGGCGTTCTAGGCCCTGGCTTCAGCCTTGCTCAGCTGTGACCATTGCAGCAATCTGGAGAGTAAACCAGCAGCTGAAAGATCTTTCTGTGTGTCTGTCACTCTGCTTTTCAAATAAGCAATATATATTTCAAAAAAGAGAGGTGAAACTACAACTACTAAGCTTGTCACTGACCAGGCCATTGGGATTTTAATCTTGACTTCACCTTTTACTAACTCAGTGTCTGAAAGGAACCTGCTGGGGCTGACATTATGATGCAGAGGGTTAAAAGGCTGCTTGCGATGCCCTCTTCCCACATCAGAGCAGTGGTATGAATCCCAGCTGTTCCATCCAGCTCCTTGCTAATGCACCTGGGAAAGCAGTGGAAGATGGCCCAAGTGCTTGGGGCCCTGCCAGCCATGTGGAAGGAGTTCCTGACTCCTGCCTTACAGTCATTTGGTAAGTGAACTACTAGATGGAAGAGTTCTTTCTCTCCATTCCTCTCTGTCACTCTGCCTTTCAAATAAAATAAATCTTAAAATTAAAAAAAAAAAGAAAAACCACCTACTATTTTACCTCTCTGAGTCTCAATGCCCTATGCAGTAACTAAATTCACAAAGGAAATTCAATTAAATAAAATATATAAAAACCTACAACAATCATGGCTGTACAAAATCTACTCTGAAAATGAAATATTCATAATCCAAACTGACTTCAATTGAACCTTCTCCAGGCCATAATAATAATAATAATAATATAATATAATATAATAATATAATATATATTATATATATAATATATATTATATATATATTATATATATATTATATATATAAATATATATAATATAAAATAATATAATAATATAATATAATATAATATAATATACTAAAATAATAATAAAGGAATTCCTTTATCATTTTTTAAAAAAAATTTATGTATTTCTTTTATTTGAGAGACAGATACAGAGAAATCTCCTATCTACTGATTCATTCCTCAAATATTCCCAACAGCTGGAGCTAGGAAATCTGAGTTTCCCTCCTGGGCAACAGAAACCTAATTATTTGAGCCATCACCAACTCATCACCCTTCTAGGGTATGCGTAAGCAGGAAACCAGATCAGGTGTGGAGCAGGATCTGAACCCAGGCATTCTGATATGAGATGCATTTATCTTAACAACTGTGCCAAATGCCTGCCCCAACTTCCATTTTAAAAGTTTCAGGGGGCCAGCATTGTGGCACAGCAGGTAAAGCCACCGCCTGCAACGTCAGCATCCCATAAGGGCACTGGTTCTGGTCCCAGCTGCTCCACTTTCCTACTAATGTGCCCGAAGGCTAGAGTATGGTCCAAGTCCTTGGGCCCCTGCACTGACTTTGGAGAACCAGAGAAAGCTCCTGTCTCCTGGCTTTGGTTTGGCCAAGCCCTGGCTATTGTACCCACTTGGAGAGTGACCTGGCAGATGGAAGATTTTCTCTTTCTCTTTTCCCTCTCTCTCTCTGTAGCTATGCCTTTCAACTAATTAATTAATTAATGAAAAGCTTCAGGAGACAAGCCTTTCAGAGAGATCGATGCCGTAACCTGAGAAACTTACAGAGCAAAGAACCTGGCAACTGGCAGACACAGACGATTCCTGTCATGATCACTTCACGGAGCCACAGCTGCCTGCCACTCTACCAGGAGGCCAAGGGCCCAAGACCACAGCAATAACAGAATAAGAGATTAATTTCCAGTGGAACAATCGTCAACGACAAGAAAGGTTCTTCTCAGTAACTTACCTATCACTGTGTAACGAGAGCTTTGCTCTTTTTATCTACATTGAGGGGCAGAGGGAGAATGCTCTCACCCTTGCTGGATCACTCACTAAATGCTGCAGTGGGCTGGGGTTAGGTCAAGCTCAGAGCCAAGAGCCAGGAATGCAACCCAACCACTTCAGCTATGCCTTGCTGCATTGGCGAGAAGCTTAAGTCACAAGCTGGAACCAGGAATAGAACCCAGGCATTCGGATGTGGGATGCAGGCTAGGCTACTAATACCTGCTCCCATTTTGCCCTCTCAATAATGCACTGAATGAGGCGAAAAAATGATTTCAGTGGAAAGCACAGAAGAGTGTCTCCATTTCGGATACATAAACTGTAAACTATCAAAGCTCATGACCTTTCACTTCCCTCCCACCACCCCAAGGCTCATCTCTCAGTGTGCCCTTTCTCACTAAATGCCAGTCATCCCACTCAGTTCCTCTAACTCAAACTCTTAGGTGACATCCTTGAATCATCAGTCTTTTTCATCCTATATATTCAACCCATCAGTGCTGCTTCCTAAATATTCTTTTCAGCTCTTCACTTTTTGCCTCCCATGTCCTAGGGAAGCCTCCACTGCCCTCGGCCAGGGTAACCAGAGTAGCTAACTGGTCCTGCTATCACACTGCTGACCCTGCACCTGTTCTCTACACTATGCAAACAGTAATCTTTCCAAATAAAGTGATCTTGTCACTTTGCTTTAGAACCCTTTAGGACTTCCCACTGCATTTAGGATCCTAAGACCCAAATCCAAACCACAACCTCTAGGACTGTAACAAAACCATCACACTTTTATTTAAAAAAAAAAAGATTTATTTATTTTGAAAGGCAGAGTGAGAGAGAGGGAGAGACAGAGAAACAGACCCTTCTGGTTTACTCCCCAAATGGCCACAAGGCCGGGGCTTAGTCAGGCTGAAGCCAGAAGCCAGGAACTCCATACTACTCTCCCTCATGGGTGGCAGGGGCCAAAGCACTGGACTACCTTCTTCTTCTGCTTTCCCAAGCACGTCAGCAAAAAGCTGGATCAGAAGCAGAGCAGCCAAGACTCAAACCACACTCTGATATGGGATGTCAGCATGGTAAGTGGTCACCTAACCCTGCTGTGTCCCACAACACTGGCCCCCATGGACCATCTCACTTTAACTTAGGTCACTCCTCAGCCACTCCCCCCACCTAGTACTCTCCATACTCCAGACCATCTGGCTACTTTCTGCTGCTCCTCGTAAGCCAAGTACCCCAGCACCAGCACAGGGTCTACACATGCTGTTTTCTCTGTGCAAGTCTTCCATCCCACTCTTTTCTGGGTTAATTGCATCCCTTGCTCCAAGCTGATTTCAAGGGTCATCTCTTCAGGGAGTCCCCGGACTAGACTGTGGCCTTCTCTCACATGCACTCACCTCAGTTTATGCCTACCTGAGTAATTACTTCTCACCCTATAGATCATGAGCTGTGTGAGAGCAAACCTTATGATGGGAATGAGCCAAAGCAGGCACAGGGCATCCCTGAGAGATGTACTGTCTGGGATCTGCTTCTAGGAGTGTAATTCTACAGTCACATCATTCATAAAACTTCCCAAATGGCCATTCTAATTCTTCCTTAGACAAAAACAGAACCTACATAAACTCTGAGGGATATTAATGTAAAAAAATAATGACTACATAAAACTCAGTCTTCACAACATCAGTGGTCACCTGTCTAGTCAAAAGTTTTACACTTTGACCACTGGGAAGAACTTGGCTTTGATGAGACAGCTGTACATCTGGTGCTGAAGCGACATGAGGATGAGGACAGAAGGCATCTTCCTCCAAACCCTCCAGCCATGTGGGGAAATGGAAAGAATACAAACTTCAGACATGCAAGCACTTACATTCCAGTCCTTGCTCTGCTACTTAGTAGTTTCTTCTATCTAAGCTAGCTGCCTTTTCTCCCTAAACCTTGATTCTTTACCTGGAACATAATTAGAATGAAACTTTTGTGATGATTAAAAGCAGTTAAGTAAAATCATTTATATAAAATATCTAGATCATAGTAATCTCTGGATAAATAAGATTTTTTTAAACCTTTTTGTCCTTTTTTAGCCTTTGATGGTCTTAATACCCTGAGTTCAGCAAATGCTAATGATGTCAGACTTTACCTCGATTAATTAACCTCCTATTAGCAGTTTTTCTCTTCTGTTATTCTCAACCTGTCTTCTGTTTCCCCACTAAATACACCCTGTTCAGATATCCAAGCTCCTCAATCAGTAATACATCTTTTTAGATTCTTCACTGCCAAGATACAGTCCCCCAACTAAGTGTTTCTGTTACCTCCCTCCAGAACCACTAGTCCTCAGATTCCACAAGATAACCTATGACACCGTAGTCTCCTCTTGTGAATTTCTGTGTTCACATACCTTATTTTATTTTCCCAGAGATGCTATATAACCTTGGAAAATGAAGGAGATGCTGGTTTTTGGCCCAGAAAAGGGGGCCAAGCTTACAGACTGTACTATACCTGGAGCTATGTAGCCAGGAGCAGCAGTGGCCCCAACGAAAGCTCCCCTTGTTAGAGCTCCTCTTCCTCTGCCCCGAACAGCCTGGACTGCGGCAGACACGGCGGTATTCACAACACCCTTCGCCTGTGAAACACAGCACATTCCCATTACCAGGAGAAGCAAGAACGATCTTCCCTTCACATCTTTCATGCACAAACATCATGAGAAACCCTACACCTGCAGGTCAGATAAAGAGCTGTCTGCAAACTCGAACCTTCAGCTTTCCATCTGTAAAGTGAGGATGGTGCTTTACCACAGTCAGTCTGCAGAAAATGCTGGACACACACATGAAAGGAAATAACTTGTTTTTACACGAAACTTTCCCAGAAATACTTCATTTTCTACATAAAATTTCATTATTCAAATTACATCCATAGTCATTTTAGGCCTGACTAAAATAATTATAGAAATTCGATACTCAGGTTTGAACTCATCTACCCAGAGACAGGAAACATCCCAGCAACAAGCTACCTAGAATTAGACTTGAACCTGAGGGAAGTTTTTTTTTAAAAAATTTATAACAAGGAGGCCGGCGCTGTGGTGCAGTGGGTTAACGCCTTGGCCTGAAGCTCCGGTTGAAGACCCAGCTGCTCCACTTCCGATCTGGCTCTCTGCTATGGCCTGGGAAAGCAGTAGAAGATGGAAGAAGCTAACGGCGTCTGGCTTAGGATCTGTGCAGCTCTGGCCATTGTGGCCAATTAGGGAGTGAACTATCGGATGGAAGACCTCTTTCTCTCTCTCGCCTCTCCTCTCTCTGTGTAACTCTTTCAAATAAATAAATCTTTAAAAAAATAAAAACATTTAAAAATTAAAAAAAAAAAAAAACTAAGGCAGGAGGACCTTATCTTTATAAGATGCCAGTTACTGATCTAAACACCTGTGCCCTCAGGTGGGCCATGCAGTTTCCTTGAGTTGTGTCTTCGGCCGTATGTGCTGGCTTTGAGTGTGTGTTCATCAATCATTTAGCAAATACTTTTGAAAACCATTCTAGCTCTAAAATGTCACTAGACTCCAGTGAAGTCACAAAACCTTTCACCATGGCAATCCCCAAATAACTGTAAAATGAGGATAAAAATATCCACATTCTGTTTCCCTTACTTTAGAGTAGACAGAGCAACTGAGAGAACAGACATAAAAACACTTAAAAGCAGATTATGTTGAGGCCGGAGTGATGACAAAGCAGGTAAAGCCACTGCCGTCAACACCAGCATCCCATATGGGCACCAGCTTGAGTTCTGGCTGCCCCATTTCTGACCCAGCTCCCTGCTAATATACCTGAGAAATTTCAGCAGAGGATGACCCAAGTGCTTGGGCCCTTGCCCCCACGAGAGAAACCTGGAAGAAGCTCCTGGCTCCTGGCTTTGGCCTGGTCCAGCTCCGGCCATTTGGGGAGTAAACCAGCAGATGGAAGACCTCTCTCTCTCTCTGCACCCATGTGGGAGATTCAGAAGAAGCTCCTGGCTCCTGTTTTTGGTCTGGGCCAGCCCTAACGGTTGCAGCCATTTGGGGAATGAATCAATGGATAGAAGACCTCTCTCCCTCTCTCCTCTCTCTAAATCTGCCTTTCAAATAAATAAAATAAATCTTAGAAGAAAAAAAAATATTTCAAAGGTTTAATGCTTGACTCATACCTGAGGGATAATCTTCTTTTTCTTATTGTTTGCTGCATTAGGTCCAGAAAAGAGTTTCTCCAGGGCAGCGAGAGCTGCACTTGCTTTTGCCACTTTCTTATTTGGACCTGCACCTCTGAACTTCTGTCCATCGACTTCCACCTAAAATTAAGAGGAAGACTGCAATTTTCCCAGAAAGTGTGTCAATGCAGTTTTAATCTAAATGCATATCACACCCCAGAAAATAACAAAAATCAAATAGTACCAAAGAATTGACTCAGCCTAAAGCTTTTTTCACACGTAAATTTAGGATATCTCAGGTCTCTGAGAAGAAACAGAAGGCAAGCTGTGTCCAGGCACCCACCTCCATCACAAAGCGCTTGTCGTGGCTTCCACCCGTCTCTGAGATGAGTTCGTACTTGAGACCTCTTCTTTTTTCATTGAGCTCCATGACAGGATTTTTGCCACTTGCTGTGAGGATGGGGCCCTGAGTTCTTACCTAAAAGAAAAAGGGAATTAGAGGTTTAATCAAGTAAGATTTTAGAATATTAAATTTATTAATACAATTATGTTTAAAAAGAAACTCAAAAATTCTACTTTTGAAACACTTGGGGCTGGGATGAGGCACCTCGCTCCACCGCCGGCGAGGCACCAGAAAGGTGTGCGGAATGCAGAGCAGTAAATGTACAGTCCCCTGGTCAGCCTGCCCAGGGCCAACAGAGCAGCCTCATCCCCCTGCCACCTGTGGTGTTCATGAGCGAAGAATACTACTTTACATAACTAAGACAATAGAAAATTGGGATTACCATGATGCCTGGGGACTTACTGTTTTTCATATTTAGGGTAAAGAAGAAATAACTCTGAATTTGGGATGGAGGAGGGAACTGTTCATATAAACTCTCTCTCTCTCTCTCTCTAAATAGATCTAAGCACACACATGGTAAGAACAGTAGGCTGCAGAACACGGATCTGAAAATTCAGAGCCAACAATAAAGGCAGTCATTTCTTGCCCTTCGAGAGCTAAAGTATACCGTAAAGGACAGATACAACCACTGCAAAACAGGGGGTCCAGTTTCCACACATACGGGTGTATACTAAGAAAACTCAGTAGAAGGGATCACTTTCTAAGGAAATCAGAATAGTTTTCCTGGAAAAGACGTTATAGAGCCTCACCTTAAAAGTAAGTATCAGGGATCAGAATTATAGAGCAGTGGGTTAAGCTGTCCCTGCAACGCCAGCATCCTATATGGGTGCTGGTTCATTCCAATCCAGCTCCCTGCTAATGCACCGGAAGATGGCCCAACTGCCAGGACTCCTGTACCCATGTGGTAAATCCGGATAAAGCTCCCTGGCTGCTGCTACCATTTGGGGAGTGAACGAGCAGGTGGAAGATCTGTCTCCTCCGCTCTCTCTCTGTAACTCTACCTTTCAAACAGATAAATAAATCCTTATTAAAAACAAAAGGCTCATTTATTTGAAATGCAAAGTTACAGAGAGAGATTTTTAAAGATCTATTTATTTTATTTGAAAGGCAGAGTTAGAGAGGGAGATCTTCCATCTGCTGGTTCACTCCCAAAATGGCCACATGGATCAGGGTTGGGTCAGACTGAAGGCAGGAGCCTGGAACTTCATCTGTAGCCTCCCGTGGGGTGGACATTCCCCACCCCTGAGGGAGTGACGAGAAACTCAGTATGTCTGTGAAAGGCAATGAGGAAAGGAAGCAAGTTGGATTAGGGTGTGATTAGAAAACCCCTTGATAGGGCAAAATCATAAAGGACTCTGAAACCCACGCAAGGAGCTCTGACTTCACCATGGATAACACGGAGCCTTGCAAACAATTTAACCTGGAAAAGGACATGACTGGATTTGTGTCCCAAAAAAAATCATCTAGCAGTGATGGAAAGAACTGACTTGAGGAAGGATATGACTGAAAGTAGGGAATAAAAGTAATTCAAGTAGGAGTGTGAAGGCTCAAATAAACAGCATTCACAACACACACATACACACACACACAATACAACAACTATAATTTTAAGAAAGGAAAGACTGAAAAATTCATCATTTTTCAAGGTCAGAGATCATGTCTAATTCCACCACAATGACTGCTGATTTGTTAAGTGGTTAATGCTGCAGAAATAAAATATTTATCAGTTTTTAAACATAAATATAATAAACATTCTTGGGCCTTTTGCAATGAACTTCCTTTCTTGATGACTTCTTATAATCTACATTTTTTAAATTTCATGGCAAATTTCCAATCTCCTTTTTAAAAAAAGTAATGAGTAATTTTTGGAACTAGGCTGTAATACTTTCTGGTTTCCAAAGCTGAAATCACTCTTAGAAAAATGAGCTACAACACAAAAATATTTCAAATATAATCAGCTACATCACACAAAGTATAGATGTAGCCAGTAGCAAACCACCACACTGGCCAGCGCCGCGGCTCACTAGGCTAATTCTCCGCCTTGCAGTGCTGGCACATCAGGTTCTAGTCCCAGTTGGGGCGCCGGATTCTGTCCCAGTTGTCCCTCTTCCAGGCCAGCTCTCTGCTGTGGCCCAGGAGTGCAGTGGAGGATGGCCCAAGTCCTTGGGCCCTGCACCCCATAGGAGACCAGGATAAGTACCTGGCTCCTGCCATCGGATCAGTGTGGTGCACCGGCCGCAGTGCGCGGGCCACAGCGTGCCGGCCGCAGCGGCCATTGGAGGGTGAACCAACGGCAAAGGAAGACCTTTCTCTCTGTCTCTCTCTCTCTCACTGTCCACTCTGCAAAAAAATAAATAAAAACCAACACACTCTCAGGTGGCTACTGTGGGGAGCAACTCAGACTAGACTAAGTTACTGGAATTAAGACTTATTCTATGCATCTGCTCTCCCACAATATGGCGCTGGGAGAGGAGTAAACAGCTTCTACGCAGCTGCCTCCAGTTCAACCAATAAACTGCAGGAGCTGCTCCTGATTGGAGGAGAGCAGCATGCTCGGCGTGTGGGTAGTAGAGTTGGGATTGGTAGAAGAGGACTATAAAGGAGGAGAGAGACAACATGCACCAGGAACATCCGGATAACATCTGAGCAGCCCCCGAGAGGAGCCGGCCGCAGTGTGCCGCTCCTCCACGGAAGTGGGGAAAGTGGCAGGGGGAGCTGCCGCTCCACGGAGGAGGAGGGGTCGGCAGCCAACCCGGGAAGGGCCGAGCAGACAAAAGAACAGTGCAGGGTCTAGTGTCGTTCCTCCACGAAGAGGGGGAGCGACAGCTACTGCTGGTGCAGCTCATACTTCTCTCTCCCTTCCTAATTCCCTTTGCACTTAGTGGTCTGAGCCAAAAAATTAAGGGGCCCCTTTTTTTTTCTTTGAGTCACTGCCTGCAAAACAACATGTTGCCCTGTGCCTACCACTTTGTGACTGAGCAGTGCTCTCCACACCACACATCTGCCTCGCATGGCAGCATATGAAGAGTCAAGCAAGGCTTTCCCAGGCTTCAGCGCCCCCAAACACACACCCAAACGTCCAAACATTCATTTTCACAACTCCAGGTCCTTACACCTTCCATTCCCTTCACCCAGAATGCCTTCTTTCCAGCTCTCATCACCCAACAAAACTCATTTAAAACCATGCTCACATTGTACTCCCTTTGATTTTACATGATTGTGTGTTTCTGACAGTCTCATATCACTTCCTCCTTTGAAATTCCCATTATTATACTCATTTTGCATCACAGTACTTATCACGTTACATTCTCATTCACTATAAACATGTCTTTTCATGCGTCTAGCCTGGAAGCATGTTCAGGCACTGGACACAATTTCTATTGCACCCGGCACTGCAGAGCTTACAAAATGAAAGAAAAAAAGGCCAGTTATGTCTGTAATAAATACTTATTCTTACAAATGAGAAAATCTTCAAAACTTGTAAAGCTCTTGCTGTTACTGTAAAGTCCATAGAATGCAGGAAGTAAGGGTTCTGTGACATCCCCTTGGATGACACTAAGCTCACAGGTCAGGACCTAGGAGTCTGATACACAGTGGATCAAGATATGCCCTCCCTGGCAGGGTTCAACCAATGCCACCCCCTACCAGCCCTACAGTTCAGTATAAACTTCAAATAATCTCAAATTTCCTCTACTAATCTTTTATGTTTTACCCAGCTGTTTTTGTTGATATACTCACACACTGTCATTGTCCAGCAAAAAGGAAATGCCAGTGGAACTAAGTATACTCATGTGCTGAATTGAAAACATTTTCACTGAACTCTTTAGACTTACAACTCTGTAACTTAAAAGGGAAAACTTCATGAAACATAAATGCCTTCATACAAATATTCATGAAGTAAAGCTGGATAAAAAAAAGCCAAAATATTAACAGTCTGCCTCTGGAATGTATGATTTGTATATGCTTTTGTTCTATTTTTCTACATCTCCCAAATTTTCTACAACGTATAAAATTACTTTTGTTGTAAGAAAAGAAACCATGAGAGCGTACCTCTAAGGTACTGGAGGTTTCAGTTGCAGAATTTCCAGTATTATTGCTTGAGTTTGAAGACACTGTTTCATTTTTACTTTCATTATCTGATTTTTCATCCGAACTCATACATTCAATATCTGCATCAAAGCCTGTTGGGTATCCCATTGCCTGTAATACCTGTACAAATAACATTAAAACACAGCTTTATTCAAACACCAGTGACCACAGAGAATAGACAAAATATTGAGAAAAAACAGTTTCAAATTCATCACATTTTGATCCATAAAACACCTTGCAGGAAGAGCAAAATGTACAAATCCTTGGTTATATAAGGGACACCTACCATGGTAGCATCATTAAGAAAATGACAAAAAAATCACCTCAGAGTAAGGTTTAAATAAAGCCTGGCAGAAACGCAAACCTGAGAGTGCTCCTAGTTCATTTAACTGAATATGATAGGTAGAGAAAACTGTCAACCTCAACCAGCAGTATGAGGGGAAAGTCAAACAGCACACATTACAGCCATTTGTGGAGTGAACCAGCAGATGGAAGATCTGTCTCCTCCTCCCTTCCTCTCTCCCTTCCTCTTTCTAATCAGTAAATCTTACAAAAAAAAAAAAAAAACAAAAAAACTTGAAAGACTCAATCCCTAGGTTTATTTAACTTTATACTATGTGATCAATGAACAATTTTTTGACTTTATTTCCATCCCGTTCTCTCAAGACCTGATTACTATGGTTGCCTCTAGTGTTCACACTTTTATATTTCCCTTCAACATCTGGGATCTCTCATACTTTGTTGAAATAAAACTTTCAATAGAGTGTATATGTGGGTGTGTGTGCACACTTGCTTGCATACACAAAAGCACACGCATGTGCCTTTTAATACCTCCAAGTTATACTACTTTTTAGATGTTTACAAAAGAATACGTTCACGCTAAAAAGCCTCTTTCAATGTAGGTTGACATTGCTTTGTTAATTACTGAGTAAAGTCTTATATCAGAGAACATACTAATAGGTCCCTAAAGATCCCTATATTTGTTTCAGTTTTTAACTATTTTTAGTTGCTGGAGAGTAAAAGCAATACTCTATTTATAATACCAAATTCGCTTAATAGGTATCTCAAGAAATTGTTACAATGGCCACACAGCCAGAAGCCAGACTTCTGAACAATGTCATCTTGTGTAAAAGATTTTTCTTATATAAATGAAGCAGTGTTACTCCAAGGTCAAAAAAAAAAAAAAAAGGCTTAAGTAGAACCCTGTACCAGGAGATCTTGAAATTAATTCATCCAATTCATATGGAGAACTTGGCATTCCCATCATAAATAAATTCCTTTATTTATTTGGGAATACAGCCAAGAATCCATTTTTAACATCTTGAGTTCTTTTTTTTTTTTTTTACAGGCAGAGTGGACAGTGAGAGAGAGAGACAGAGAGAAAGGTCTTCCTTTTGCCGTTGGTTCACCCTCCAATGGCCGCCGCGGCCGGCGCGCTGCGGCCGGCGCACCGCGCTGATCCGATGGCAGGAGCCAGGAGCCAGGTGCTTCTCCTGGTCTCCCATGGGGTGCAGGGCCCAAGCACCTGGGCCATCCTCCACTGCACTCCCTGGCCACAGCAGAGAGCTGGCCTGGAAGAGGGGCAACCGGGACAGAATCCGGCGCCCCAACCGGGACTAGAACCCGGTGTGCCGGCGCCGCAAGGCGGAGGATTAGCCTAGTGAGCCGCGGCGCCGGCCCATCTTGAGTTCTAAAAATGCTCATTTAGTACTTTAAGTACATCAGCATCATTTGGTTATAACTTTATCAATATTTCATAAAAAAAACACCTTTCTCTGCTGTCTTGACTCCTGCAAATATGTTCTCCCTGAGAAATCTCATCTCAGAGAATCGCTACCAGTCTGAATAAAGACTAACAGGGGCTGCAACTCAAAAGACAAGCATCACAAATGAATTTGATTTATTTATTCCAATAAAAATTAAAGACTTGCAACTTTTTCCAACTTCACACAATTAAAATAGTTGAAGGTCAACCATTTCTCTCTGTGTTTCCCTCACATATCAGATACATTTATTTACTGTGCTTGTTACCACAGCAACAAACTCAAGTACATTTAGAAATAGTTTATGTAATTGCCAAGTTATTTCTCAAGGTATGCAGTATCAAACATACAGCAAAACTAACAAAAAATTTCAAATTTAGTCATTTTTCTATGAACACATGAACATGCGAGGACATGCAACAGACGGCAAAACAAGTGAGTGTCCTCAGAGCTCCAGAGCTGATAGAGGATACCCTGAGCCCCTGTTTTAAGGAGGTCCCATCTTTGGGCCTTGTTCTCAAGAGCCCAGCTGCAGTAAGAAGCTAAACTGGTTTAGCCTAATCACCCTCAGTATCTATTTAAATTTCCTCACTCTCTTACACCCCCAGGTGCTGTCTGATCACTCTGGCCTGACTTCAGCACAAATCATGTTAGGTCTATGTAGCCAGAAACCCCCCGCTTTATCCTGGATGCTTCCTTAGCATTTTTTCATTCACTGATCCCTCTCTGTTCCTGGCTTGTCTGTGTGGTATTCAGAGTTGGCATAGTTCGACAGAGTTCTCTTTTTCTCTATGGCAATAGCTGCAAAGTAAAATCTGTTCAGTTTTGCTTTTCTTTGACAGAACAGAAGTTTGTTTAGGGTCAATATTAAGGGGGCTTGCATTGTAGTGCAACAGGTAAAGCCACCACCTATAATGCTAGCATCTCATATGTGCACTGGATCGAGTCCTGACTGCTTCACTTCTGACCCAACTCCCTGCTAATGCGCCTGGGATAGCAGTATAAGGCTCCTAGCTTCAGAATGGCCCAGCTCCAGCCATTGCGGCCATTTGGGGAGTGAACCAGCAAGATGGAAAACCTCCCTCTCTCTCTCTGCCTTACAAATAAATAAATCTTTAAAAAAAAAAAAAAAAAACCTGAAAAGTGAATTTCAAATGTCTGGCAAACAAAATCAAACCTAAACAAACACAGCAATTAAGCTGAAAATCACAAAATATTTCATAGGAACAAGGTGGCCAAGAAATCAGCTGTGACCATATCCCTTCCTTCCTGGGAAAAAGCTGAGGTTGCAAAACACTGAGACTGAGAAAGACAATACCTTCTCAAATATTAGGGGTTGAGAGTGAGAAGAATACACAAAGCACTCTACACCCAAGCTACATACTAAAAAATATTTTTAAAAAAAGGTAATATTCATGGCTTCTCAGAAAATAATCTAATTTCATAAGGTTCTGAAGGGGGCTGGTGTTGTGGCATAGTGGGTTAAAGCCACCACCTGTAGTGCCAGCAGCCCATATGGTCACCGATTCGAATCCTGGATGCTCCACTTCCGATCCAGCTTTCTGCCATGACCTGGGAAAGCAGTAAAAGATGACCCAAGTCCTTAGGCCCCTGCACCTGTGAGGGAGACCGGGAACAAGCTCCTGGTTTCGGGTTGGCACAGTTTCAGCTGTTTTGGCCATTTGGGAAGTGAACCAACGAATAGAACACATTTCTCTCTCTTGCTCTCTCACTGCCTCTGTGTCTCTCTAACTCTGCCTTTCAAATAAATAAATAAATCTTGAAAAAAAGGATCCAGCTACCATGCAAAGATAGCCATTAAATTAAAAAAAAAAAAAAAAAGATTCTGAAAGAACATGACAGCTCCAAAATCCTTTCTAAAGAGACTTTGGTCCTCTTCCTCTTCCAGCTGATTCTCTTCACAAAATATGGCTAAGGGACAGCTGGGATAAAGAATCGGGAAAGGTGCGGGTGCTGGCACAGGAGGGCAAGCTGCTGCGAGGAACACCTGCATCCACACTGCAGTCCTAGCTGTTCTGCTGCCAACCCAGCTTCCTGCGGATGCATCCTGAGGGAGCAGATGATGCTCAGGTGCTTGGGCCCTGTCACGCACATGGGAGAGGGCAATGCAGTGCTGAGCTGCGGTTCCAGTCCAGCCTACACCCAGCTGTGGCAGGCATTTGAGAAAAGAGCCAGAAGATGGAAGACCGCTCCCCTCTCCCCTGCCTCCTCCCCCTCCCCTTCCCTCTCCTTCTCCCTATCTCTCATTCTATCTTTCTTTCTATCTCTATCTCACTGGGCCTTTCAAGGTAAAAATTTAAAACAAAAAAAGAACCAAGGGAAGAAAGAAAATATTGGCCACTAATCTTCATCACTTTAGGGTGCCTGTTGCTGGGCAGCCAGACCACACCCATGAGGCAAGAATCAACTTCTTCTTGTTTTGACTTGATTCTCTTGTGTGATTTACCTTAATAGGTACAGATCCCCTTCTAAGCTGTTATGTAAGGACTACAAGGACTTTATCTAATGGGATGGACTTTCATACTCATGTTAAATTTAAAACTCTCAGACTCATTTATAAACAGAAGCTGTAACATGCAATATAACTTTTATGTATCGCAAATTAGCAATATATGCTTGCCTTATAATGGGAAGCCAATACGTTCCTTTACTGAATTAATGAATCATTTAAAACTGTGTTTTCCTTTGACCTGGTAACCTCATCTCTATATCTTAAGAGATAGTATCACAGGGCTGGCGTCGCAGCTCACTAGGCTAATCCTCCGCCTGCAACGCCAGCACCCTGGGTTCTAGTCCCGGTTGGGGCAGTCCCGGTTGGGGCATCAATTCTGTCGCAGTTGCTCCTTTTCCAGTCCAGCTCTCTGCTGTGGCCTGGGAAGGCAGTGGAGGATGGCCCAAGTGCTTGGGCCCTGTACCCGCATGGGAGACCAGGAGGAAGCACCTGGCTCCTGGCTTTGGATCAGAGCAGCGCACTGGCCTTAGCGGCCATTGGGGGTGAACCAACGGAAAAGGAAGACCTTTCTCTTTGTCTCTCTAACTCTGCCTGTCAAAAAAAAAAAAAAAAAAGAGAGAGAGAGAAGAGAGAGAGAGAGAGATAATATCACAGAAGTTAAAAAGCAATAGACTAGAAGCATCTAAATCTAAAACTATATAACTATACTACAGTTGCATGATAATAATGAATTATCAGGTCATCACTAGAAATGAAAACAATCTTTGTATTAAATATAAAAATATTAATGGGAGGCCAGCATTGTGGCATAGTGGGTTAAGCCACCACCTGCAGCACCAGCATCCCATATGGGCACCAGTTTGAGTCCCAGCTGCTCCACTTCTGACCCAGCTCCCTGATAATGCACACAGGAAAGCAGCTGAACATGGCTCAAGTCACTGGGCCCTGCACCTATGCAGGAGACCTGTAAAAAGCTCCTGGCTCCTGGCTTCAGTCTGGCTTAGCCCCAGCAGTTACAGCTGGGAGTAAACCAGAGGATGGAAGACACCCCTCAGGCGGCATCTCTTTTGGTAACTCTGCCTTTCATATAAAACAAATCTTTAAAAAAATTAACCATGATATATTATGAATATAAAAAAGTGCATTTTTAAAGTTTATATAGTTTATACACATTATAGACGCGCCCCCCCCCCCCATTCTGAAACTGTGGAGCCATCTCATTTCGAGAATTCATAACTTTCCAGTTTTAAAAGCTAACACAGGGGGCCGGCACTGTGGCGCAGTGGGTTAACGCCCTGGCTTGAAGCACCAGCATCCCATATGGACGCCAGTTCTAGTCCCGGCTGCTCCACTTCCGATCCAGCTCTCTGCTATGGCCTGGGAAAGCAATAGAAGAAAGATGGCCCAGGTCCTTGGGCCCCTGTACCCACGTGGGATGCCTGGAAGAGGCTCTTGGCTCCTGGCTTCGGATCGGCAGAGTTCTGGCCGTTGCAGCCAATTGGGGAGTGAACCATCGGATGGAAGACCTCTCTCTCTCTCTGCCTCTCCTCTCTTTGTGTAACTCTGACTCTCAAGTAAAAAATAAATAAATCTTTGAAGAAAAAAAAACCTGTGGCATAGTGAGTACCTACTACCTGCAGTGCTGGCATCCCATATGGACACCAGTTCGAGTCTCAGCAGCTCCACTTCCAATCCAGCTCTCTCCTATGGCCTGGGAAAGCAGTAGAAGATGGCCCAGGTGCTTGGGTCCCTACACCCGTATGGAAGACCCAGAGGAGGCTCCTGGCTTCTGATTGGCACAGATCCGGCCATTGCGGCCAATTGCGGAGTGAACCAGCAGATGAAAGACCTTTCTTTCTTTCTCTCTCTCTGCCTCTCCTTCTCTCTGTGTGTAACTCTTACTTTCAAATAAATAAATAAATATGTTTTAAAAGAGAGAGAGAGAGAAAGCTAATACAATACACATACCACATATTTTCTAACTCCAAAGAGGGTTCTCAGTTGCTACCCCATGTTTGTTTAACAGAACATAGAAAATATTCACAATAAATGAAATATTAAAAACTAAAAATAGACAATCATCAATTCAGGTCACATTCTATCTCCCAGAGAGTTTAGACCAAACTTAGGAAAAAAATTTTTTTAGCCGGCGCCACGGCTCACTAGGCTAATCCTCCGCCTAGCGGCGCCCGCACACAGGGTTCTAGTCCCGGTTGGGGCGCCAGATTCTGTCCCGGTTGCCCCTCTTCCAGGCCAGCTTGCTGCTGTGGCCCAGGAGGGCATTGGAGGATTGCCCAAGTGTTTGGGTTCTTGTACCCACATTGGAGACCAGGAGGAGGCACCTGGTTCCTGGCTTCGGATCAGCGCAGCACGCCAGCCATAGTGGCCATTGGGGGGTGGGAAAACAGAGGGAGGACTTTTCTCTCTTCTCTGTCTCTCTATCTTTGTTTGTTTGTTTGTTTGTTTTTATTTGACAGGCAGAGTTAGACACTGAGAGAGAGACAGAGACAGAGAGAAAGAGAAAGGTCTTCCTTTTCCGTTGGTTCACCCCACAAATGGCCACTATAGCCGGCGTGCTCCGCCAATCTGAAGCCAGGAGCTAGGTGCTTCCTCCTGGTCTCCCATGCTGGTGCAAGGCCCAAGCACTTGGGCCATCCTCCCCTGCCCTCCCGGGCCACAGCAGAGAGCTGGACTGGAAGAGGAGCAACCAGGACAGAACCTGGCACCTCGACCGAGACTAGAACCCGGGGTACCGGCACCGCAGGCGGAGGATTAGCCTAGTGAGCCCCGGCACCGGCCTCTCTCCCTGTCTAACTCTGCCTGTCAAAATAAACAAATTTTTTTTTAAAAAGTACTTAATGTTTAAAAAAAGGTAATTTCTAGGTGCTGGCATTAAGGATTTGCCCCTCATTTTCTAAACTGGTTACAGTACATATTACATATTTGTAAGAAAAAGAAAACTCATAAGAAACTTAAAAAAAAAAAAAAAGATGTATAATACAAACTCTGGGAAGACCTTAGGAAAAGCTATCTGCCTCAACAGAAAAAATTCAAAATCTGGAATACAGCTATCAAGTACAGAAGCCCAGAAGACTACAGCTTACTTCTGAGTGAGAGCCAGTAAGAGGCCCACATATCTATAGCTGGCTGAAACTCTTAAACCAAATGAAGTACCACTTGGGAGGTTTTCAAATGTTCAGAGCTGGTTTACTTACTTCACTCTGCCTGAGTGGATCCAAAGTCAATCCCATTTTCAAAAAGGGCAAGGCAAATCTCTACTCTTTACAAATTTCTGATTTATTAGTTAATTGCAGGTATAACTGATATTCCTTTTTATGAAGATCTGCCCAAGGAGAAACGCCTACCTAATCTTTATACAGAAAAAACTATGCCTCATGTAATAAGCTATTCTTACTGCAGACTGCCCATTGTGTATTTCACAAACTCTTTGTGTCCAGTGCTACAGAACTTAGCTCTAAATTTGTGACTCATTCTCAGCATAATATAGCAAAGTTATTAAACTATATTTTTACCCTTATTCCTGGATTCATTTTCCTTCATTCTTGGTTTTTTTCTTTCTGCCTTAAACTCGTAAGTCTTCTTTCATCATATTTTAGATACTCTTTATATACACAAGACAGAAATATATTGTTGGATATTGGATATTTTTCTGCATTGTTCTAAATATATTCTTCATTTAAAAAGCTGTCTATTTTGATTTATTTGAGGCAGAAATCTTCAATCTGCTGGATTACTCCCCAAATGCCCAAAACAGCCAGGGCTCGGCCAGACTGAAATCGGGAGAGAACAACTCAGTCTAGTTCTCCCACAGAATGGAAAGGATCCCACCAACCTGAGCCAACACCTGCTGCCTCCCAGGGTACACAAAAGCAGAGTTGGGAGTCGAACCCATGCACTGTAATTTAGGATGCAGGGGTCCTAAGTGGGAAAGTTGCACTAAAATCCTGCCCCTTTGCATTTTTCCAACCATACCTAAAATAGTATATACTTGCTTGTGTATTTGTTATATATCTCCGGATCCTATCTGCACCAGAAGATAAGCTGCATGAGAGCAAGTACTTTGTTTTGTTACTGTTATATCCCCCAATGTCTAGGATAAGGTTTGTGCCTATATTACATTCTATTATTGCTTACAGCCCTTGCCTATATTCCTGCCAAGCTAGGGTCTTCCAGGTGGGAGACCTGGAAGAAGCTCCTGGCTCCTGGCTTCGAATCGGCACAGCTCCAGCCATTGCAGCCAACTGGGGAGTGAACCATCGGATACAATACCTCTCTCTCTGCCTCTCCTCTCTCTGTGTAACTCTTTCAAATAAATAAATAAAATCTTTAAAAAATTGTATTAACAGAGAGATCTATTATTTGAGAATTTTCTAGAAAACTACATCCATGATTGATTGGTCTAATTCTAGACATTATTACATGTGGAAACACTCCGAAATACAGAAGTACCATACATACAGATACTGATCAAATTTATTTATGATGAAAAATGTAAACGGGGTAATACTTAAATAACAGTACATCCACAAATGTTAATCATACAGTCATTAAAAGTTATTTACGGGGGCTGGCGGCTGCCTGCAGTGCCAGCATCCCATATGGGTACCGGTTCAAGTCTCGGCAGCTCCACTTCCGATCCAGCTCTTTGCTATGGCCTGGGAAAGCACTGGAAGATGGCCCAAGTGCTTGGGCCCCAGCACCCATGTGGGAGACCTAGAGGAGACTCCTGGCACTGGATCAGTGCAGCTCTGGCCGTTGCGGCCATTTGGGGAGTAAATTAGCAGATGCAAGACCTCTCTCTCTCTCTCTCTCTCAATCTCTCCCTCTCTCTCTCTGTGTGTGTAACTCTTTCAAATAAAATAAATCTTTTGAAAAAAGGTTATTTATGAAGATTTTTAATAACAAGGAAAAACAAATAAAATTTCAAATAAAAAAATCAGAGGGTAAAATTACATATATGTTGGAAGCCAAACTTAAAGAAATAAGCAAAACACAGAAAGAATGGAAATAAGCCCACATACTACAAATATGAATAATCTTTGCCTCAGAAATATCCAAATGACATGATTTTCCTTACATTTTTCTGTATTTTCCAAATTTCGTACTATCAACAAATTATTTTATAATACAAAAGGCAAGTTTACAATATAGAGGTGAAAAATCTTTTTGCTATTAAGGTCTTGAAAATACTATTTACCATAAGAAAATAAGACTTTATTTGAAACATAAAATTAGGCATTGATAGGAAAAATGAACACTGTACCTTCACTGCTACATGAAGTTTTGCTGTTTTCTTGGATGGTCCTGAGGCTTCATATGTTGTGCCATCCACATCGACAGACATTGTGAAGACTGGGGCATGGACAGGTCCAGACTGAGACAAAAGCTTATACTGAAGCCCAGGCCTGATCTGGTTTAGCCTCATTAGTGCATTCATAAGGTCTATTGCTTTACTGTCCAGAACTGTTGATGAAAAACAAATTAGAACAGAAAATAACTAGAGAAGGCAGCTTTGCTTTATTCTCTGCATTTTTTATATTTTTTTTATTTTTTATTTAGTAAATATAAATTTTTCAAAGTATAGTTAATGGATTGCAATGGCTCCCCCCCCCCATTATTTCCTTCCCACTCACACCCCTCCCATCTCCTGTTCCCTCTCCCATTCCATTCACATCAAGATTCATTTTCAATTCTCTTTATATACAGAAGATCAATTTAGTATATATTAAGTAAAGATTTCATCAGTTTGCACCCACACAGAAACACAAAGTGTAAAATACTGTTTCAGTACCAGTTATAGCATTACTTCACATTGGACAACACACTAAGGACAGATCCCACATGAGAAGTAAGTACACAGTGACTCCTGTTGTTGACTTAACAATTTGACACTATTGTTTATGGCATCAGTAATCTCCCTAGGCTCTAGTCATGAGTTGCCAAGGCTATGGAAGCCTTTTGAGTTCGCTGACTTCGATCTTATTCCGACAGGGTCACAGTCAAAGTGGAAGTTCTCTCCTCCCTTCAGAGAAAGGTACCTCCTTCTTTGATGGCCCCGTTCTTTCGATCTCACTCGCAGAGATCAGAGATCTTCCATTTAGGTCTTCTTCTTTTTTTTTTTTTTTTTTTTTTTTTCAGAGTGTCTTGGCTTTCCATGCCTAAAATACTCTCATGGGCTCTTCAGCCAGATCCGAATGCCTTAAGGGCTGATTCTGAGGCCAGAGTGCTATTTAGCACATCTGCCATTCTATGAGTCTACTGTGTATCCCGCTTCCCATGATGGATCGTTCTCTCCCTTTTTGATTCTAGCAGACACTAGACTTGTTTCTGTGATCCCTTTGACTCTTAGACCTATTAGTGTGATCAATTGTGAACTGAAATTGAACACTTGGACTAGTGAGATGGCATTGGTACATGCCACCTTGATGGGATTGTATTGGAATCCCCTGGCATGATTCTAACTCCACCATTTGGGGCAAGTCCGATTGAGCATGTCCCAAATTATACATCTCCTCCCTCTCTTATTCCCACTCTTATATTTAACAGGGATCACTTTTCAGTTAAAATTTAAACACCTAAGAATAACTGTGTGTTAATCACAGAGTTCAAACAATAGTACTAGAACAAAACAAAGAGAAAATAAGCATTTAACTTTCATTTCTTTATAAGTGACAAATTCACCAAGTCACTTTTAAAAATGAGAATTTCAAAATGTATTTACAAATCTACTTTCTAAGTGATTTTATTATTACTTCATTATTATGCTGTTATAAAAACAATATACATTCAACAGTAATGTATCTTAAGCAATGATGCTTGGAAAAACAAGAAAGCTATTCTATTGTCAGTTTCTTAGTTAAGATCTACTCTTAAAACACCAGTTCAAATTAATCAAATTCTCCACTCTTTAATTTCCTATGTGAGGCTATAAATCCTTTTGAGTTTACATCTGTAAAAATAAAGATTTTACACACTTTTCCTTAAATTTCGTTTCATCTTCTTATTGGGATCTTTATCATCCCCCAATCCATCTTCAAATGGCCTCTTCAGAGCTGAAGACCCAGCACCTAAAAAACATTTATGAGAGTCACTATCCATCAAAGCAACGATCCTGCTTACTGAACCAAATGCATCTAATGGTTAGGCAGGAAACTCTTCCAATGTTTAATTAAATCATGATATTTATAATTAAGAAAATGCAATTTTTAAAGCATTCTTTCTTGAAATTGTTATTTTTTTTTATTTTTTTTTTATTTTTTTTTTTTTTATTTTTTTTTTTTTTTGACAGGCAGAGTGGACAGTGAGAGAGAGAGACAGAGAGAAAGGTCTTCCTTTTGCCGTTGGTTCACCCTCCAATGGCCGCCGCTGCAGCCGGCGCACCGCGCTGATCCTGGCAGGAGCCAGGAGCCAGGTGCTTTTCCTGGTCTCCCATGGGGTGCAGGGCCCAAGCACCTGGGCCATCCTCCACTGCACTCCCTGGCCATAGCAGAGAGCTGGCCTGGAAGAGGGGCAACCGGGACAGAATCCGGCGCCCCAACCGGGACTAGAACCCGGTGTGCCGGCGCCGCAAGGTGGAGGATTAGCCTATTGAGCCACGGAGCCGGCTGAAATTGTTATTTTTTTACAAACACTTATTTTCTAATTTATTCTCTTTCTCTCTCTCTCTCTCTCTCACACACACACGCACACACACACACATACACCTCTATGCATATGCTATGGTCTAAATCTTTTGTATTCCCCAAACCTCTTATGTTGAAACTTAGTCCCCAGTACAGTGCCACTGGGAGGTGATCGGGTCACACCCTCATGAGTGTGTCTTTTCCACGAACAAGAACACAGAGCCAGTGCTGTCTATGAAGAGGTCCTCACCAGAACCAACACTGCTGGTGCCTTGATCTGGCACTTCCCAGCCCCCAGAATTATGAGCATAAACGTCTGCTGTTTATAAAGTATCCAGTCTGAAGTATTTTGTTACTGTAGCCCAAAGAGACCAAGACAGCATGAAGAGAAAAGGTCTAGAGAAAGCTATATAGCAAAATATTAGAAATAGTTACCGCTAGCAGGATTTATTTTTACTTATATCTTCTCAAATTATGATTTGTTAAGTCTTATACTTTTGGAAATACATAAAACTATAAATCTATTAAACTATAGATTATTCTTCTGACTCTTCAAATCCTATTCAAGATTTTATTTACAGTTCAACTCCTACATGAAGCCCTTCTCTCCTATCAATTTTCTAAACAGTTTCCACAGCATTAGAAATATAAAGTACCATAGGTATTACTGCTGTGTGTGTGTGTGTGTGTGTGTGTGTTCTTGTATGTCCTTAGCGTTCTCTGAAAATCAAAAGACATTTGGTCCCTATCTTATATCTTTATCAACTATCTTAACATAAGACTTTAATATTAATCACTTTCTGGGATAAAGCAGTTAATAGTGCTTTTAAGCGTAAGGGAAGAACTTTGTTGTCCAAGATGAAAGAAAAATAAAAAGAAAAGCTCATCAATCTTCTCCAAGTACTTTAAAGAATTCTCTATATCTTCACCTTAAAAGTTAGTTGCTTAGTTTTCTCTAAGCTAAATTACAGTCAAGGTATTCATGACACAAAATTTCCAGATATTTCTAGCACAAGCTAATAACAATACTGATTAACTATGTATTTTTTGATCATCAAGATTTATGGGCCTGGGGGTAAACACTGACTTTGGCATTTGCTTGGCTCAATATTACCACTCAGCTCAATCAATCTTGACACTCTCTTCAACAGAAGAGAGAATCTGCCTAGTACTGTATTTCATTTGCAGTGTTCCAAAATGTCCTCTGAAAGAAATAAAAGTCACAGGGAACTATGTCTTCTGAATCACTGTCCTCCTCACTGTATTAGGTTAAAAGTAGCTCTCTGACTGGAAATCACAAATTGGCTTGATATTCCCTAAATTCTCTAGCTACATAAACAGAGTTCTATAGAATAAAGTTCATGCTATCATCCTAGCCATTGGGAAAGAGCTAAAAAAAAATTAAAGGCTAAATCCTAAACTTCATCTTTTAAAAAGGAGGGCAGGCTTGCTTTGTAAAAAGCAAGCAGTGGTGGCTGGCACCATGGCATAACAGGTAAAGCTACTACCTGCAGTACTGGCAACCCACATGGGCACCGGGTTCAAATACCAGCTGCTCTGATTCTGATTCAGCTTTCTGCTACAGCCTGGCAAAGCACAGAAGATGGCCCAGGTGCTTGGGCCCCTGCACCTGCGTGGGAGACCCTGAAGAAGCTCCTGGCTCCTGCCTCCTGACTTTGGCACAGCTCCTGCCACTGCAGCCATCTGGGAAGTGAGCTCGTGGATTTAAGATCTCTTCTTCTGTCTCTCCTCATCCCTTTTACTGCCTCTGCCTCTCTGTAACTTTGCCTTTCAAATAAATAAATATACCTTTAAAAATATATATATACATTTTGAAGCATGAATCATCTACAGAAAAGGAACATGTGTGGAGCCAAGAAATAAGTTTCAATAAATCAAAGGACAGAAATCACACATGTTCTCAGATAACAGAGTAAGTGGGCAATCAAAAACAAAAACTAGAAAGTCCTCATTTGTCTGGATATGAACCAATGACATCTAGGTGGCCCTTGGGTCAAAGAACTGCTACCAGGGTCGGGTAGTATGGTGCAGGGAGTTACATCCCCACATCCCATATCAGAATACTTGTTTGAGTCCCAGTTACTTTGCTTTCCAATCTCGTTCCCTGTTAATATGCCCATGAAGCAAGAGATAATGGTTCAAGTATTTGATTCCCTGCCACCCACATGAGAGATTTGGATGGAGTTCCTGACCACTGGCTTTGGCCTAACTCAGCCCCAGCTGTTGTGGTCATTTGAGGTGTGAAAAAGCAGACAGAAGATATCTGTCTTTCTCTGTCACTCTGCCTTTCAAATAAATAAATAAATCTTTAGGGGGGAAAAAAAAAAAACAAATGAAAATTTTAAAGTTTGACTACAAGGTAATAAAAATACTAAAGGGGTGGCATTGTGGTACAATGGGTTAAGCTGCCACTTGGACACCCACATCCCGTACTGCAGTGCCAGGTCAAAGCCTAGCTACTCCTTTTCCAATCCAGTTAATGTACCCAGAAGCAGCAGATGATGGCTCAAGTACTTGAATTCTTGCCAATCACGTGGAAGATCCAGATGGAGTTCCTGGCTCCTAGCTTCAAACTGGCCCAGCCCTGACTGTTTTGGCCATCTGGAGAGTAAACCAGTAGACGTAAGAGGGGTGTGTCTGTCTTTGTGTCACCCTACCTTTCAAATAAATATTTTAAAGATATTAATGTCAAAAGAATGCAATATATGTAAACCTGTGCTTAAAAGAAAGCATATCATCTTAATAGTATACACAACAACAAACTGAAAAAAATCAATAATATATTCATCTATCTAACTCATAAAGTTAAAAAAAAAAAAAAGCAAAATAAACCCAAAGAAAGTAGCAGGAGAAAAACTAAGAATAAGAGCAGAAATCAATGAAATAGAACACAAATATATACCAGAAGACAATTCAAGAAAGTTAAAGGTTGAATTTTTCTTCAAAAGAATAACAAAAATCTCTAGTGATAAGATTAGCAAAGAAGAAGAAATGCAATGTATAAAAGAAGACATTACTAAACACAGCACAGACAATAAAGAGTGGATCTCAGGTGGGCATTTAACCTAGTGGCCAAGAAAAAGGTGAAGATGTGCATGTGTCCCACAGTGCATTGCCAGGGTTTGACACCCACTGCCTGCAGGTGCTACTGACTGCAGCTTCCTGCTAATGCAGACGGTGAGAGGCATGGACCGAGTCCCACCCATTGCGGGCATCTGGGAAGTGAACCAGTAAATGTAGAGTTCTCTTTCTGCCTCTCAACTTACTACAGCAACACCACCATCACCACCCCAAAAGGAAGATCTTATGAACTACTTTATGTCAAACTGTTTTTAAATGTGGATGAAACAGACAAATTCCTCAAAAAACACAACTGACTAAAACTGTCATGAGAACACAAGAGTCCTATGCCCATTAAAGAAATCAAAATCATAATTTAAAACCTTTCCACAAAGAAAATCATACGCCCAATGGCTTTACTGATGAATGCCTCTAAACATTTATGGAAAAATTTATTATTATTTTTATAAAAACTCTTCCAACAAAGAGAAAAAAACAAAGAATACTTCCTAATTCTATTTATGAAGGCAGCTTAACCTATAAGCCAAAACTTAATGAAACATTGCAACCAAGGGAAATTGTTGTCCAAACTAATATAAAAAAACTCTGCATTTATAAATTGTTCACAAAAACCCATATTATCCAGAAATAGCATTATCTGTGATAGTCAAATATTTCTGAACAATAAAAATGAACAAACTATTCACATCTGCAACAATCTGGATGGATCCCAGGAGCATTAAGTTGAGTGGGGGAAAAAAAATCTCAAAAACTCACATGTTGTATAATTCCATTTACCCCTGAAATAAGAAAATTATAGATGGAGAACACTTAGTGGTTTCCAGGGTTTAGGGATGGTTAGGGGGAGGGAAGCGGGTTTGACCAGCAATGGATAGAACAAGAAAGGCTTTGTGATGACAGAATAGTTTTTATCTTTTTTTCTAAAGATTTACTTATTTATTTATTTGAAAGACAGAAATATATAGATATATCTTCTATCAATGGGTTCATCCCCCAGATGGCTGCAATGGCTGGAGCTGGGCCGATCCAAAGCCAGGAGATTCTTCCAGGGCTTCCACATGGGTGCAGGGGCCCAAGGACTTAGGCCATCTTCTGCTGCTTCCCCAGCCACATTAGCAGGGAGCTGCAGCTGAGGTAGAGCAGCCACGATTCAACTCAGGACCCATATGGGATGCCACTACTTCTACACCACAGAATTAACCCCAGTTTTATATCTTTTTATAAAAAATATTTATTTATCTATTTATTTGAAAGTCAGAGTTACAGAGAGGCAGAGACAGAGGCAGAGAGAGATTTCTTCCATCTGCTGGCTCACTCCCCAACTGGCCACAACGGCCGCAGCTGAGCTGATCTGAAGCCAGGAGCTAGAAGCATCCTCTTGGTCTCCCCTCCGGGTGCAGGGGCCCAAGAACTTCAGCCATCCTCCATTGCCTTCCCAAGCCACTGCAGAGAGCTAGATTGGAAGTGGAGCAGCCGGGACACAAACGGGTGCCAATATGGGATGCCGGCACTGCAGGCAGCGGCTTTAGCCACTATGCCACAGCACCAGCCCCTAGTCTTATATCTTGATTGTGCTTACAGAAACATACACATGTGATAAAACGGCACAAAATTTATAAATACATTCCACCAATTTCAGTTTTCTGGTTTGGATTATTGTACTAAATTATATAAGATGAAAATCTGGGAGAAACTGAGGATAAGGATCTCTTACTATCTGTGCACTAGCACGGAAGAGGTTAATTAAATAGCCGAATACTAGACATACTTTAAAGTACACAGATAGGATTTGCTGATAGTTTGGATATGGGAATATGATAGATAGGAGTTTCCAAGAGAGCTTGGATTCTAGATATCTTAAGTCTGCAATATCTGTTTGACATCCATGCAGAGACTCTAAAAGAGGCGATTCTCATATTTGGGTCAAAGTTCAAGGGCTGGAGTTTGGAGTCTAAGTACAAATTTGGGACAATCTTCAGAGCACAGAAGGTATTGCAAGTCAAGAGATTAAGTGAAATTCCCTTAAAAGTCAGTGTAGGGGCTGCTTTGGGGCATAGTGGGTAAAGCTGCCACCTGCAGTTCTGGTATCCCGTACAGTCACCGGTTCAAGTCCTGGCTGCTTCACTTCTGATAAAGCTCTCTGTTATGGCCTAGGAGGACAGTGAAAGGTAGTCTAAGTCCTTGGCCCCCCTGCATCTACATAAGAGACCTGGAGGAAGTTCCTAGCTCCTGGCTTCAGATCGGCCCAACTGTGGCCATTGTGGCCATTTGGGAAGTAAACCAGTGGAGGGAAGACTCTCTGTCTCTCTATAGCTCTGCCTTTCAAATAAATAAATAAATCTTAAAAAAAAAAGTCTGTAAGTAAAGGGAAATTGTCTGATGACTGAACACCAGGACACTCAATACCTGCACGTCAGGAAGATGAGGAAGAACAAACAAAACAGCTGAAAAGACTGCAGTGGCACTAAGGAACCAAGAGGAGGCGTGGTAACCCCCAAAAGCAGGACTGCATTTTAGAAAGGGGGTCTGCCAGTACCAGCTATTGCCGAGGATCCAGGGCGACATGAATTTTCACACACTGCCAGCAGGAGCATAAACTATTCAAAATTTACTGGGTCATTTCCTAACCGGAAGCAAATCCCCAGGCCTAGACCTCAGGAAGCCTGCCTGTACACCTAAGAATGCTGCTAACAGCAATACTGTGAATGGCTCCAAGAACTACAGAACCTAAAAGTCCTTCAAATACGAACGGTTAAAGTATAATGTCAGATATTTATAAATGGATACTATAGACCTATTACAATGAGCAAAATATAACCATATGCAGTAACATGAATTTATCCCGAAAATATTGGACAGAAAGAAGCTATTCATAAAAGAAGTGAATATTGGTACAATTCCATTTCTACAAAGTTCCAAGAAAAATTAAGCTAAACTGTTTCAGAAAGCATACACAGGTGGAAAAATTCTAATCAAAACCTAGGAAACCATTTTCAAAAAGTCAGGATTGGTAGTTCATGGGGCAAGAAGCTAAGGATGAGGGATAAATGGATGGTTTCTTAGGAGTTGATAATGCTTTTTTTCTTAGCCATAGCAGTGATCAAGGGATTTAATCTGTACTTTTTTTATTTCATAAAATAAGTAGGGAAGAAAGAAGAGTCCATCTGGCCAAGGTTGCTGGAAAGCTGGCCACTAAATTTAGCAACCTAAAGATCACAAGCAATACTTTGGTAGAGTGGTGAGGAAGAATGATGATTAGAACAGGCTCAAAACAGAACACAAAGTGAAAGCAAAGGAAAAAGAAGAATAGGTCACTCTTTCCAAAAGTACTGCTAACAAAGGGGAGCAGAGAAATGAGACCCTGTTGGGGAAGCTGCAGAATCAATGGAGAGTTTGCTTTCCACTTGCCTTTCACATGCAGAAGGTTTTGATGCTGATGAAAATGACCTAGTAGACAGGGAGGAACTGATGCTGGTGACAGAGAGGGTAACTAACTGCTGGAATAATGTCCACTGGTAGGCAAAAGGGGATGTGACGCAGTGAATACGTAAGAAAGCTAAGAGGCTGAAAAGATTATCCATAAGCAAAAGAGGGAAAGCAAAATGTGAGTACATGAAGCTAGGTTTGGTGGAGTGGTGAGAACAGGCAGAAGCTATCTTCTCATTCCTACTAATCTGAGAAAATAAAGCAAACAAGCTCATCAATAACAAGGAGGTAAAAGAGAATGTGTGAAGTGGGAAAAGATATAAATCATTATCTAGGGAAACTGGAGAACTTTAACTTAGAGGAGGATTGCCAGATAACACAAATAGTCCCTAATAAAGTAATGCCATAGCTTTTAAGGGAGAACAGTTTAAGATGGTTGCTTTTGCTCCAATCATCTTCAGCAACCTGTTATACACACAGAGAAGGTAGAGAGATGGTGTTAGTCAGTCAGAATTCTTCCACAAAGATAGGATCAATAAAGTGAAGGTATATACTAAACTATACATAGTAAAGAGCGATCCAGGACAGAAGGGAGGGGCCAGTGTCATGGCATAACAGGCAAAGCAGCTGTCTGCAACACTGGCATCCCTTACAGGCACTGGTGTGAGTCCTGGCTGCTCCACTTCTTCTTTTTTTTTTTTTTAACAGATTGATTAATTTATTTGAAAGGCGGAGTTACAGAGATGCAGAGGCAGAGGCAGAGAGGTCTTCCATGTACTGGTTTTCCCAAATGGCCACAATGGTCGGAGCTGAACTGATCTGAAGCCAGGATCTTCCTCCGGGTGCCCTACACCGGTGCAGGGACCCAAGCAATTGAGCCATCTTCTACTGCTTTCCTAGCCATAGCAGAGAGTTATATTTAAAGTGGAGCAGCCAAGTCTTGAGCCAGTACCCATATGGGATGATGGCAATGCTGGCAGTGGCTTTATTTGCTCTGCCACAGTGCCACCCCCCATCCTCCTCTAGCCCCTGCCCCTGGTTGCTCCACTTCTGACTCAGGTCCCTGCTAATCTGCCTGTAAAAGCAGCAGAAAATGGCCCAAGGACTTGGGTCCCTGCAGCTATGTGGGAGACCCGGATAAAGTTCCTGGCTCCTGGCTTTGGCCTGATCCATTGTAGCCATTTGGAGAGTGAACCAACGGATGGAAGATCTCTTTCTCTTTCTGTAACTCTGTCCTTCAAATGAATAAATCTTTAAAAAAAAAAAAAAAAGTGAAAACACAAGGAAATCAGAGACTATGCAAAGGTAACAGAATCAGAGATGAGGTTCAAGAACTGAAGTAACAATTCTAAACACAGTGATGACAAAAGGAGAATGGAAAGTGGGAAAAGATGACTATGGGAAGTACAGGTAGAGTTACTGACGAAGACAAGGTCTAAAGTATGTCCAAGGAATGAGCAGCTGAGGAAAGGAACAAGAAAAAATATCTGTGGGAGAAGACGTCAAGGAATTGAAATGTTAGAGTTCTGGGGAAAAAAAATCCATTTGAATACATATTGAAATCTCCAAGAATTACAAGAATAAGGCTTAAATATGAATGTCAGAAAATTAGGTGCTACAGGAATTCAAGTGCAAGGGATAACATCCTTACAGCCAAGGCACAAAATGATTAAGTAACCTGATGAGATCATGCAGCTGGCAGGACGAGAGTGAGAACTTAGGGCTCACAGTCCTACTTTATGCTGTAAGATGACACACCAGCAGTTTCCAGACATTTCAAGGTCTAAAACTAACAAACAAGGGAGTTATGATCGGAACCCAGGTCACACTGACCCTGCAACTCACTTACCCTTCTTTCTGTTGAAACTCTCATTTTAGATATATACTAGTTCAATGGTCCTCATTTTCCTACATGCTTTTCTCTTCCTGTGTATTTTTGTTTTCTGCTTCTTAGTTATAGCACACTTGTAAGCATGAGAAAAAAATGATTAATAATAGTGACAATGTCTCCTCCTGACTTACACTTTCTCTTCTCCTTAGACTGGAAGTCCTCAAAGTATGGTCCCTAAATTTATGCAATAATGGATTCTGGCCAACATAACCTAATGAGTTGGTAACTAATAAGAATAAAAGATGGTAAACTGATGTCACTGATGGGAACAGAAGTCAGGAAGTAAAACCATAAGCTGTCTTATACATGGCTTAGATGAACAATTATTAAGTTCACTCAACTCTAACAAGAGATGAAACCATGACCACCACCACTGCCAACCCCGAACCCCAGTAAGAAAGGTTCACACTCACCTTCTTTATCAGTAACTGACCAGGAATACTTCTGAAAAGGCTTACTTGATGGAAGGGGATCCATCTCCAGCACTTTATAAATCTGGCCAAAGGCTGATAGTCTGAGTGCATGCTGAAGAACAAAACATTTTATTCAATCAAATTTCAATAGCCTTTTGAACAGCTAGCTAAAAAAACATTCACTAAACGTTGATGGTATGACAGCACAAATCCCTACAACAAACAAGAAAAAAACTTCAAACGGAACAATTCAGAACGTAAATTAATACCTAACAAAACACAATGATACACCCCGTCTTCTACCTGTGCACTGTGGGTAATATCTTCCTTCTGCTGAATGGTCATATAGCTCAGAGCATCTGTCGGGTCTCGCTCACAAGGATCATGAAGACCAGGACCCCCTTTGGCAAAGGAAAAGGAAAAGCATAGGTAGCACTTAAAACTGAGTTTAGAATTTTAGTTAACTAACACAAAAGAGAGAGAAGAAAAAAACCGAGGAACTAAATTAAAGGTCAGCTCAATTAAGCAGAGTAAAAAGGACATTCATTTTCGATGTTAGCACTTAAATGTCCTTATTTTATTCTCAAAGTCACTTGTCATATCTAACACCAAAATTGAGTCTGACTCTGATAATTTAGAAACAGATCCATGAATCATCTCAAATCTTTAGAAAGATAACATATGGAAAATAAGACAAAATTTATTTTTTTCCAAATTTAACACCAGACTGCGAACAGAATTAACTTCATATATTTTAACTAAACATCTACATTTCCAAGTTCAGAGCTCTAGGTAAAGCAAGTTCATAGCAGACACAATAACTTATTAGTACCCTTTATGTTAGTACATATAAAACACAAATTATATAATTATTTAAAAAGAGCTTTAAAGCACTTTTATAATATGCATTCTAGTTGCAAAAATTCCAAGCAAAAGATACCTAAGCAACATTTTCCTGTGCAGAGGATAAATTTAGTATATATTTAGAAAAATAATCTAAAATGAGATTTTTCTGATTCTTCTGCCTTCAGAGTTTGAAACCCTTACCAGGAAGTAGTATTCCAGATGCCAAACACTCCATTACTCGTCTCAAGGCCTCCCCAGCGCCCAAAGGTCTATTACAAGTACCTATAGACTTTTCACATATAAGCTCTAGTGGCTAGAAGATATTAAATTACAAATTAGTACATGCACCAAGTGTTAAAAGGATTCCAGTTAAAATGTGAGCTGACATTTCTATTTATAAGGGAGGCCAAAAAGTGAAAGTCAATTTAATATTTAGGGCTCACTTAACCTTTTCCCCATGAATATCAACTTTTACCCCAGCCAAAGTTTTAAAATCAAGCATTTCTGAGATAATATTTACAGAAAACATTTTTGTAACAAAAATTTTATTTTCAGTTATGCTACACTGCAAGGATCACTAGAGAAGCTATGGTCATCCAATTCATTTAACAAAGATTACACAAGCCTTCATGTAAGTTAGTAGTAGCTAATAACTAGCCAGTACAAAAAATCCTAGCCCACTTACCTCTCATTTAACTTAGTATAAGTAAGCACTCAACCTACAATTATTTCAATTTAAGAATTGAAATCTCAATTTCAGAAGCCTGCTGCAAGTCCTATAATTAGAATAAACAAAGGACCAAATCTCCTTATTTAATAAAACATAAACTAAGAATGCAACATCAATCACTGTATTAATTTATAAATGACCTTCCCAGCCTCATTTGTTTTAGAATGTTATGCTGTAGTCAACTGTAAGTCACTTTCACAACATAGAACTTATGTCCATAATCTCCTGACACATACTGTCTGCCTGACTTTATTTACCAATGTGGACAACAGCCTATCAGGCAATTTCCACTGTAACGTAAGACAGCACTGGAAGACAAACAGGCCAGCCAAGGAGGCTTCTGTGGGCAACAGATGACCAGAGAGTGATCAACCATCAGCCCAGCATCAAGAGCAGAAAGACACTTCTTAAAGATACAAAACCTTTTAAGCAAAAATAAAAATTTCAGGTTCTGTAACATCACTATGATAAGAGTTACATGCATTAAATTAAAAAGAATTCACTTTTAAAAGATTTTTTTTAAAGAATTTTTTTCCAGAACAAAAAAACAACACCACATTGGATAACTCAGAAAATAGCCAATTTATACCAATAGATTATTTTAACCTTATGGCAGTACTCACCCATCCTTTTAGCGGTGCCCATGTGGGAACTCTGTTGCACAAATCACGGAGAATGCGGAGGACAATTACACATGATTTTAATCCATTTGCCCTTGCCTAAAACAAACAAAATTATTCCAATATCCCTGTTGAAACCCATTCGTCACTGATCATGATTAGGGTTCTTTAAAATGCATTCTAATTAACATATCATTCATCAGTTATCAAGAAACCAAAAACAATAAGTAGTAAAATTATGGTTTGGAAAGGCAGATTTTACAGTAAAAAGAGAATAAAACTTCTTTTGTAGCCTGATGGCAGTTCCATTTCAGGCAACCAGCTACCTTAATTTTTAGCTTTTATCAACCTTGTTGGTATTTTATAAAATTTCACTTGAATTCAGAACACTGAATCAAAAAAAAACACTGTGTCACAATAAATCATCATTAATCATGGAAGTTATACCAAGCACTTTACCTAAATTAATTCATTTACTCAAACATCCACCATATTAGCTAGAAAGCGACCCCCATTTTACATAGAATATACACAAACTAAGTGGCAGTTGTTCCAAATGAAACCTGCACACAGCTACAGTACCAATAAAATAGTAACAAAGAGCCAACCTGAAACCATTTAGCATGTCGAAGAGATGCCAAGGCGTTCAGGCATTTCTGCCTGTCCAGTAAGTCCGGAGGATCTTTCATCGCAACATTTTCTAATGGTAAAATGGGATAAACAGAGACAGATACAATTTGATCAAGGGGTTCCTGTCAAATTACCACACAATAAAAAAGAAAAGAATAGCAGCATCTGAGTGAACCAATAAGGCTCCCAGTAATTTTCTTTATTTACTTTGTGCCTTTTTAATTATGTGCACTACAATTATTTAAGTAAACAGTCATCACAGTAGTCTGTGCACAAGCACGATGGAACATACAGGAATTCAATAAAAAAAAATACATGACCAGACCACTGCTACATACAATCTGGGATCTTATTAAGCATGGATAACATCAAAGGGCACAAAATAAGTATGTAGCACTTTTTCCTGGGGTGGGGCAGGGAGGTGAACAGGGAATCTGACCGATAGCATTAAAAACTTCACTTTATGGAAGAAATACTCATCCCTGATCAGTTGTTAAGCAATACAATAATCAGTTTGAGATTCACTGAAAATACACTGAGTATGCCACAAATTTTTTTTTAGGATTACATGAACTCATTCAGCAAGATAACTATTAACACAAACTTTACCCATTGATGAGAACTCAAGTTTTACCTTGGAATTCTCTCATTATTTCTTTCCTAAACCAAAATTACTAAAACTGAAAATATAAAATTGAAATATCTTTTTAAAAAGACAGCAAGGACTACTATCTAATTATGGCCTATTTGACTTGCCTTTAACATTGGATTAGGCAGCCCAAGGCAATGAAATTAAAACTTTGAACATGTGAGCAATGACAAATATCCATACTTGGGAAGAGGTCACATAGTACTAAAACCAATCAATACTAAATGGGGCCAGCGCTATGGCGCAGTGGGTTAACACCCTGGCCTGAGGCGTCAGCATCCCATATAGGTGCCAGTTTGAGACCCTGCTGCTCCCCTTCCTGTCCAGCTCTCTGCTATGGCATGGGAAAGCAGTAGAAGATGGCCCAAGTCCTTTGGCCCTTGCACCAGCGTAGGAGACCTGGAAGAAGCTCCTGGCTCCTGGCTTCGGATCGGCGCAGCTCCAGCCGTTGAGGCCATTTGAGGGTTGAACCATCGGATGGAAGACCTCTCTCTCTCTCTGCCTCTCCTCTGTGTAACTCTGACTTTCAAATAAATAAATATTAAAAAAAATTAATACTAAAGCCAAATTTCCTTTAAGCTATTAGGAAATATGGTTTAAAATTTTTTTTAAATCTCAGTGCACTAAATGCATACATCATATCAACATTTCTTGAGTAGAAGCTTGTCTAAACCAAGTAAGTCAGATTAATCTCTTTCACTTAAATGTAAGGGAGGCCAAACTGGTTAATACTGGTTGGTATTATCATAATGGTAATACTTAATTTGTTAGTGTATTTGTGTGTGTCAACTGATGCAATATAGAAGTTTTTAATAGGGCACAAGAGCATTGAGATACCTTCTGGTTTCCTGTCACCAGAGGATTCCGTTACAGCAAACTCAATAAATCTTTAAGATTTATTTATTTACTTGAATAGCATAGTTCAGAGAGAGAAGGAGGACAGGGAGAGAAAGAAGGAAGAGAGAGAGAGAGAGAGAGAGAGAGAGAGAGAGAGAGAGTGTGTGTGTGTGTGTGTGTGTGTGTGTTGCATTTGCTGGTTCATTCCCCAAATGGCCAAAACAGCCAGTGTGGGCCAGGAGCCTGGGATTCCAACTAGGTCTCCCACATGGGTGCAGGGGCCCAAGCACTTGGGCCATCTTCTGCTGCATTCCCAGGCACATTAACGGGAAGCTGGTTAAGAAGTGGAACAACTGGGACTCAAACTGGCATTCATACAGGATGCCAACATCACAGGTGGTGGCTAAAATAGCTGTGACACAACACCAATCCCTTAATGTTTATTCTAATTGACTGAACACCTGAGTTAAAACTGAATGCATAATGCTCAACAGAAAACAAATCTTGTAAGGGAAGAACTGTGATTTCTTTGCTGATCCAACATTCTAAAAGCTTTAGTGCTACACACTTATTTTCTGACCAGGTGAGCTCTACAACAGGTATTTGCATTGTTTTTCTACCAACAAATTCACAACACAAGGCCTTATGAAATGGGAAGAATTGTTAATTTGGATTTATTTGTAAACATATTCACTTCACAGGTGATGCAGACCCTGGATTTGTTCAACTTTGCTTTATAGTCATAGAAAATATAAAACTAATTCACTTTAATATTTTTCCATCAAAATGTTTAAGTGCGGTCAATACAAGCATCTGTGTAAAGCTCACATACCAGATAAAACTACCATAAAAGAATGACCAGAATCTCAAAAGTTAGATACAACAAAGGTTGACTGACTGCTAAAAGTAATATAATCCCAATAAAAGGTATGGAGCTTGCTTATTTTTTAAGACTTCAATTTTTAGATAAATAGTAATGCAAGCTAAATTTTACCCTATTGTCTTATCAAGTAGGGATGTCAGGAAGAGCGACAATGGAAGAGGGAAATGAGGTAAAGGAAGTTTGGGTAGGAAGAGACAAGGTAACCAAACTCTTTTTGTACTTTCTATTATTTTTGTCTGACTGTGATATGGAAATTTTAAATAGGGGACAATGATAAGATATTTTGATAAATTCATCAGAAAGATTATAAACACAAACACTTATTTTAAAAAAGAAATCAAGACATCAGCTTGCTACAGACAGTCAACATTTGCAGAAAACAGATTCTGCTAGAGAAATAAAGGGACAAGCACTGAACAGAAGACTTGCATAGGATCCTCTTTGTGTCAGCATAAGAATGTCCATGTTTCTTCATGCTCTGACAATCCAAAAAATCAGAAGACCCAAAATATTCATGAGGCCAGAAATAGCAAAGGAGACATAATAATTCACCTCATTTTATCTTCTTCAAAGTTTTTTATATTTCAACAATATAAATTCATATTGCATTACAAAGCTGCTTACAGGCCCAGCTGGCCTATTTTATGTAAATAATAATATACAATTTATATATTTTAAATCATTAAAAAAAGCTTAATTAATGTTGCAGTCACAAAATTGTTTCTGGAAAAAAAAACACTGCTATTTCTGGTAGAAGAACCTCAAACTTATTATTTTTTAGCTTTAATATAGGTGTCTCATTTTGTGGGGATGCAAAGCTTTTGACATAAAAAGACATCCCGGAATCGGCTACTAGAAACAACACTACCATGAGCCATTTCATTTTTTCCTACAATGACCACAAAAGACAGGGATATGTTGATGTGACCAAAACAACAAATCAAAGAAAAACAGCTTTTAAAAATTACTACTCAGTAAGCTGACATCAGAGCATGAAGGTACATACAACATGCTGAACAAGAGAAACATTGGGAAGAAGTTATGACGGCTAGTCGTGTTTCTTTGTTTAATGTTAGCTCGGTGACCAGAATCACACCACAATGTTGTAAATGCTGTTCAGCTGCTCTCCAGTCTCACATGCAAGCCGACTACCTGTCCCAGGGAACAAAACACTAACCGGGCAATGAGGCAGGGAAGTATCAAATATGTTGTGTTAAAGGAGGAACAATATGTTTAGAACTTGGGCTCTCCAAAGGTAAAATCATTGAGCTGGAATACCGTGAGGGGCTCTCTGACAATCAGGGTGAAGCTGAGCTACTGAGTTTATACTGACAGAATTTTCCAGTTAGCCTAAGGATAACCTGGTAGCAACCTCTTTCTCAATCCCCTGAAGCCTTCTAGAGAGAAGACAATAATGCCCCAAGCCACTCTCCATGCAAAACATCAGGTCACAGAAATGTGGACCGGTAAGGTGGCAAGATGGTAGAACATAGAAAGCACTGTTCTAATCTCCATTAAGATCCTCACTTACGGGGCCGGCGCTGTGGCGTAGGGGGCAAAGCTGCTGCCTGTAGTGCCGGCATCCCATATGGGCGCCGGTTCAAGACCCGGCTGCTCCACTTCCAATCCAGCTCTCTGCTATGATCTGGGAAGGCAGTAGAAGATGGCCCAAGTGCTTGGGCCCCTGCACCTGTGTGGGAGACCCAGAAGAAGCTCCTGGCTCCTGGCTCCCAGCTTCGGATCAGTGCAGCTCCAGCTGTCACGGCCAACTGGGGAGTGAACCAGTGGATGGAAGACCTCTCTCTCTCTCTCTGCCTCTAAAGAACCTCACTTAGTAGGACTTTTCCTCAGGCGCGGGGCAGTTGGCTGATAGCTAAAGATAATGTTTACAGATTCACTCTGGATACTGTAGACTGAGCAGTTGGGGAAAGAAGGAGAAGAAAGTCTGTGGCATCATCTTACTCCCAGCTGTCATCCCTGATTGTGAGAATCTATTGTCCTGACCTCAGGACACATGGAGTGAACTGACGGAGTTAGAGGGACTAATATTTGAAAAGGAACTCTTGGGCAAATTCTCTGCCAACTCCTGAAAAAAAAATCCTTGTACTGAGTACAAAGGTTTGTGTTAGTCTAAACTATAAGAAATCTCTTTAGTTTCCTCACCCACCTGTTTGCAAATCACACTACAAATGTAACAGTTGTTTTGTCACCCTAACAGCAAATATACTTCTCATCTAAAATCACAAGCACCAGAAGAAACGGAGACCGCCTGGTGAGTGCTAAAGCACCCACGCGGTAATTCCACTCAGGATCGAAGAGAGGTCTGCACACCGGACTTTGAATGTGAGGGGCTGGGCAAAATGTGAGAATTTCTCCTTTACAAAACGAGGCAACGACTTACCTCACAGGGCTGTTGTGAGGGTTTTTTAAATAACTCATATATGAAGAAATGCTTATCATGCAACAGGCTTTAAAATATCTTAACAGAGATAAACAAACCTTCTATATATTGCTTGAGCTATAAGATGCTAGTCATTGTTATAATACACATTTCCATGAACTTTTTCAAGACCCTAGTATGTATGGATTTCAAAAATCTTTGCAGCAAAATAAATTCCACTTCTTTTTCATTTTTATTTATTTATTTTCATTTTATTTGAAATGTAGAGAGACTGAGACAGAGATAGCTTCCATCTACTGGTTCATTCCTTAAATGCCCACAACACCCAGGGTTAGAAAGGCTCAGGTCAGGAGCCAGGAACTCAATCCAAGTCTCCTGTATGAGTAGCAGGGACCCCATTACTCGAGCCAACATCTGCTGCAGCAACGGAGACTCGAACCAGGCTCCCAGACAAGGGACGGGGCACCCCCAGCAGCATCCCAACCACTGGGCAAAGGCTCACCCCTAATCTTAACTTTCAATTTCCTTTTTCCATTAATTTGTTGAAATACCTTAGTAACTAATGTTAAAGTTAAAACTGAATACAAGGTCAGTGCTTTTTCTGTGTTTTTCTTAGCAGGAAACATGTAATAATAGGGAAAGTTATTTTACAGGGCCTTCCAAAAGAATCTTACTTGTGAAATAGTAACCACTGCCAAGGAGACTCACTATGTACCCTTGCAACTGAAAATGTAAAAGGTGATTTGAAGTAAACACTTAGACCTACTTCTGCACACACAACCCTGAAGAGGCAAGACTGATGCTGTAATACTCCCCAATCCACTGTTCTGTCTGGTCTCAATCATGTTATACCTTTCTTTAGATTTTACCCACTACGTGGAAGTTAAGAGAGGGAAGAGAAAGACAGGACAAGTGTGCGTATTGTGAAGTTCATTGTGGCGGAATCTGATGTGGCCGGTGGGAGTGCTGGCCCAGAGAGGGGGAAGCTGAGATACCACAGGAAAATATCTCCAAGAAAATGTTTTGTCTTTTTTTTTTTTTAACCAGGAGAAATAAAATGACTAGAAACTGGGGCAAAGGGATTGTGTGAGTATGTGTGTGTAGAAAATTTTTCAAACTCAGGAATACCTAGAACCTGAATAAATTGTATGCTTTCATCCCATGCAGCTCAAAGGCATTACATGAAGGAGATGAAACACTTGTCTAATGTGAGATAACAGAGTTATGTAACTCAGGTCTCAAATGCTTAATTATGCTGGATCATCCTGCCAACAAAGAACAAAAAATGTCTTTGACAAAGCCCAGGTTAGATAAAATGAGCGAATTATAAAAGATTGAGTCAACAAGGCTGGAATGTTAAGGACAATGGCAAAGCAAATCTTTCTGCCACTCAGAAAAAGAGGCAGTAACATGTGTTAAACATTAGAACCAAGTTGATTCCTTCCCTTACCTGATCCCACACACCAGCTGATGAGACTCAGCTCAGAGGTCTTTGGATCCTTTAGTAACTTAAACACCTTGAACAGAGACTACGACTCTCCTACTTGATTACAAATTCCATTCTATAATAGTTGTCTAGCAAGGGTACAACACATGAAGACTCTGTTTTCAGCTTCTCAGAACAGAAATTAAAATTTTAAGGGCAATAGACTAATCTTAAAGGCATCATTGAAAGTTATAACAATATGCCAGGTAAGTATATAAAACCACAGGGAAAAAGAAGTGTGATGTTCCCATAATATTTTCTAAAAGGCAATGGAAGGAAGGAATCCTGACAGGTATAAATGAACAAACACATAATTAACCCAGTCCATGGCAACTTCATTCTGTCTCATCTCTCTCTCTCTCCTCAACTAGATTTTAATAATACCTAACATTACAGTGCTACTTAGAAATGGGTGGTTTTATACTTTATACTAACAAGTCAAGGAGAATACAGCTTACCAGAATTAACATTCATCTTGACACACCAGAAATCAGAAACCATAGTTCTGCTGTTAAAAAATTAAGTCATTTAAGGCTAGTTCTTCAGAGGTGCTATAGGTACTATTAAAAAAAAAAAAAAAAGTACAGGCATAAACCTAACTTTAGATTGGATGCACTATGATTTCAAATGTGTGTGGTTTATATGTGCTGGACATGGGATAGCCAATTTTAGTTATACCAAAAAAGGTCTTCTTAAGAGTCTGTCATTTTTACTTTAAGTGATACCCTGAGTTATGTCTGCTTAAAATCAAAATGCTAATTTCACTGACAAACATGCCATTTTCTACCCTTATCACTAACCTGAAAAATAAGCTGACCAATATTTCTTACCACATTCGTATTTCAGTAAGAACAGTACGCAATGTTTACTGAAAGCCTAGTGATGAAAAATAACATCAAGGAATCCCTATTGGCCAGATAGGCTGTACTGCCTCTAAGCAGTTAAGAGAGTGGCCAGCTGGTCACAGGTGTGATACAGGAGAAATGGCAAGTTTATAGGGACAGGACTGAGAGGCAGAAACAAGCTAATCTCACAGGATAAAAAAAACCTGATAAACAAAACATGACAACAAAACTACCAGTAAATCAATAAATTTCTATTATATAAGGATGAGATTGACATACAACAATTCTCCTTAACCCCAGAAGAAAGCTTAAAGTATGATCCTCATTCTTATACATATCAACTTCAAACTATAACAGGGTCGTAAACTTCTCAGGAAAAAAAAATCCTACTAGAGATTATTTATTAAAGAACAAAAATCTAATTATATTCCTTACAGTATAAAACTAATCCATACATGGGCAATTAATTAAAACATAAATCTCACAAGCATATACACTATTAGGAGGTAAGAGCAACATACAAGTGAATAATTTTTAAACAATTACTGAGTGACTTTGAAAACAATTCTGTATTGGACCACATTTGATACTGAAATCTGACCATTAAGCCAAAATACAAATAGATTGGCTGATACCAATAACTTAATGCAAAACTAGACCAAAAAAACCACCACAACAAAATGGTATAAAAATTAGTTAGGACCAACACAATAAGCACAAGTTTTTTTTAATAAATATATTTTATATTTTGAACTTGTATGTTTTTCCAAAATACAGCAATTATACAGACAGAAAAGTCATTCAAAATACTATGGGTTGCATAAAACAAATGAAAGACTGTTATTTCCTGAATCCAAAAAGCATAATTAACATAGCATTCAAGAGAGCTATTCTATAATCAAAACATACACAAAAACGTATGTATATATACACATACACATATATATATATATACACTTATTTATATACACACACACAAGCATACCTCCATCCTTCTTCTCCCATTCATCCCTAATGAGGGGGGAAGTAAGTATCACCTTCAAAGTTAGTGTGGGCTCTTTTGTGTTCCGAATTATAATAGAGGCCTCATTTACACATTGCTCCACTTGGTATTTCTCTTCTGTGAGCTTCTAAAAGTCACCAAGATGTCAAAAACACACAATTAGATTGAAATTTCAAAAAACAAATGCTTGCACTAAATTCTCAAATGGTAATAACTATTTGCACTACTCTGCTGAAAGAGTAAAATAAACCCCATAGCAAGTCCTTCATGAGGGGTAATGCTTCTCTCCTCCCAAGTTACAAGTAAACCCTCTCTCATTATCCCTCAAAAAGTAACCCCATGACACCCACCCACCCAACCAGTTACCAAGCAATATTTGAAGCTATTCTTTTTAATATTTGAAAACAAATTGCAGCAGCAGCATTTTGTGATAAAGAGTTAATTATTGTCTCTGAAATTATTAGAGGACTACTGTGTGAAATAATAAATGGCTGAGAATGCTTTCTAAAACAACGGTTTTTTGACAGAACAGCCTAAATAGGAACTCCTACCTGCCAGGAATTTTTGACTTATAATAAGACTATGTAGGTTTTTAAAGAGAATTGAGTATACCTGAATGAAAAGAAATATCTGCAAACAATGACTCACAAGGCCAAAAAATGTAAAAAGTAGTGTCTTCCTTTCTGCTACAGCAGGTCTTAGATCATTCCAGTGAGATCTACCATTAGGGGACAAATCATCTGACATCCACAAAGAAATCTACATTGCTTCTCTTAACATAAAACTATAAATATACAATTAGGGGCCTTTCACAAAATAATCACCCAATTATAATCACATAGTAAGTTATGCCCAATATATTACTATACACTAGATGATTTAATAGTAAGTTATACAGGGCCTTTCTTGGTGATGAAATTTAGTACCACTATAAAACAGTCAGGGTAAATGGAGACATTACTAGGTCTCTGGCTCATTGGTGCATATGGAAGAACTCAAAGCAATCTACGTAAGAATAGTATTTTACCATTAAACATGCCCCCAAAAGGAGGAAATAAAAGCTCATCCTCATTTAGAACACAGGAACAAACTCAAGGAAGCAGAAGATCAAGGAGTGGATCGTAAAACCAGAACCTAAATATAAAGAACCATGAAACACAAAACTGCTCACATTCATTTTGCCACTAAAAAATAATTAAAGATGTGTCCTAGACAAGGAACCCAACTAAAATTTTCAATTATGTATGCAGATCACCCTAAGATACACTTAAAGGAATAAGCTTATGGTATGAATTTTGGACTAGACTAATTTTAAGTGATTTCTGCTTTTGGTCATGTTCCTCCTTTGCTCAAAGAAGCTCTAAGGTCACCCTAGAAAAACAGAGGACAAAGGAATGGAACTTAGAAAACTGAAAAGTTTTGCTATGGCAAATGCTCCCCCAAATTGTCTTCTCACTCTTTTTACTTATTTGAGAGACAGAGAGTGAGCGCCCATCCATTTGTTTTACTCCCAAAATGCTTGCAATGGCAGGGGCGGGGCTAGGACAAAACCCAAAAACTGAGAACCCAATCCAGGTCTCCCATGTGGGAGCTGTCACCTGCTGCTTCCCAGGGTCTGGATGACCAGAGCTGGGTATTGAATCCAAACGCTCTGATATGGGATGTGGATATCTTAACTGGGTTCTCACCCTGAGGAATAAGCTTTCTAACACATAAGAAAATAAGATCATACTGGTTTCCCACACATACACCATGAAAATGGGGAAAGGGGTTGAATGGGAAAGCCACACTTTATTTACTAAAAAAATTATTAAGTCATAGTAATACCTATGTGCTTGTGTGTATGCAGGTACTTCAAAAAGGTCAGGGAAAACTGCGTTAAAAGATGTTTGTGGAGCTGGCATTGTGGCAAATTGTTTGTGTCCCAGCTGTTTCACTCCCAATCCAGCTTCCTGCTAAGGGTCTGGGAAACACAGCTGAGGATGAACCAAGTGTCTGGGACCCTGCACCCACATGGGAGACTCAGATGAAGCTCCGGGGCCTTGGCTTCTGCCTGGTCCAGCCCCGGCCATTGTGGCCATCTGGAGAGTGAACTAGCAGATAGAAGATCTCTCCTCCCTCCCTCCCTCCCTCCCTCTCTCTCTCTTTCTTCCCCTTTCTCCTCCCTCTCCCTCTCTCCCTTTATGTAACCTGACTTTCAAATAAATACATCTTTAAAAAAAATAAAAGTTTGTGGGGCCAGCACTGTGGCACAGCAGGTTAAACCACAACTTGTGACACTAGCATCTCATATATAGGAGTACCTATACATGTCATTCAGCTTCTGATTCAGCTCACTGCCAATGCACCTAGGACCCTGCCACCAATGTGGAAGACCAGGATGGCATTCCAGGCTCCTGGTTTGAGCTCGGTCCAGCCCTGGCTGTTACAGCCATCTGAGGAGTGAGTTGGTAGATGGAAGCGCACTAGAGCTCTCTGCCCACCTTTTTTTTTTTTTAATCATGTGGTCTTTCAAATAAATAAATAAATATTTTAAATAATATGTATTTATTTTGGTGCAAAAAAATTTTGAAAGCCAAGCATAGTCTTTTATAATATGCATTTTCCATGAACTTTTTGAAAACCCCCTTATATATGAGTACACATCTATAATGCGAGATTAACATATAGTTTTCAATCAAATTTTACAGGGAAATGTACCTCTACCCACATACAGATTCACTCTTAGAAAATTCCATTTGCTATGTTAAACTAGAGTTCTCATAATTTCCACCAGTGACCTTAACAATTCAGATCTCCTATTTTTCCTAAGACAGTCTTTTTAACAACATAGTTTTTCTTTTTTAGCCTTCTCTAGCCTAAAAAGTCTCAATCGCCTCAAATTTGAGATGGTCTACACAGCCCGGCTTTCTCCTATGTTGCTCCCATGAACACTTGCTAACTCAACAAAAGCATTCTGGGGCCAGAGTTGGAGCACAGCTCATAAAGCCACTGCTTGCAACACTGGCATCCCATACAGGCACCAGTCCAGGCTGCTTCACTTCTGATCCAGCTCCCTCCTAACGGACCTGAGAAAAGCAATGGAATATGGCCCACGTGCTTGGGCCCCTGCCTACTATGTGGGAGACCCAGATGAAGTTCCTGATTCCTGGCTTCAGTGTGGCCCAGCTTTGACAGCTGTGGCCATTTGGGGAGTGAATCAGCAGATGGAAGATCTCTCTCTTTCTCCCCCTCTCTTGGTTACTCTTTCAAATAAATTAATTAAAAGAAACTTTAAAGCTGTGATGCCCACAATAAAAGTTGTCACACTCAGAAGAACAATAGAGTTCACAGAAACGTGATATGCACAGAGAAAGCTCTATTAATGCAGACTGAAGCTTGGCCCAATATTCTCTATCTTCAAAACTGGAGAGATGTGATAGATTTTTAGAATAAGAACTCTGAATTACTATAACAGTATTGCTTAACCTCTTTTCAACACCTGACACACCTGTAGATAGGGAATATGTCTAGTGTCATAAGAAACAAGACTCATTAAAAGGAGCAGCAAGTGTGAGAGAGTTAACACAAAGCCTCTAGTAGGGGAACAGAAAGCCTCTTAAATAGGGGCCAGCATTGTCGTGCAGTAGGTTAAGTCGCCACCCCCAATGCTGGCATCCCATCCAATCCAGCTCCCTGTTAGAGTGCCTGGGAAAGCAGTGGAAGACAGCCCAAATGCCTGGGCCCCTGCACCCGCGCAGGAGACATGGATGAAGCTCCTGGCTCCTGGCTTCAGCCTGGCCCAGCCCCAACCGCTGAGGCCATCTGGGGAATCAAACAAGAGGATGAAAGATCTCACTCTGTCTCTCCTTCTCTCCCTCTAATTTGCCTTTCAAATAAATAAATAAGTCTTTAAAGAAAAAAAAGCCTCTAATATGCTCAATCCTAGGATTATTACTTTATTATGCACTCAAGAGAAACAATATCTGTCAAACAAAAAGCAGAAATACATATTACAATCTAAAACAATATAAAAATAATGGGAACAAGGGGAATTTTATTAATATTTTAAAAGATTTATTATAAGGAGAGGGAGGACAGTAGTGGAAGGAGAGGGGAAGAATATAGGGAGGGAAAGAAGTGGAAGAGAGGTGGTTCACTCCTCAAATGTCCACAACAGTCAAGTGTGACCTAGGCCAGGAACCCCATCCTGATTTCTCACATGGGGGGCAGGGACTGAAGTACTTGAGTCATCTTCCACTGCCTTCCTTGGCACATTAGCAGAGAAGGGATGCCGGTATTGCAAGCTGTGGCTTAAACTGCTGTGCCACTACGTTGGCCATCAGTATTCTTAAAATAAAAAGTTTAGTTAGCCAAAAACCCATTATTGAACTTCCCATTTCACAAAACTTTATAAAATCCATGTTATTTACCACTCCTGTTCCCCTGAATGATCACAAAAGGATTCAGAAAGGAAACAAATTTAACTCTAGAAAACGTTGTAAAATATTTCCCCATCAAAACTGAAAGAGGAAAGCCAAATATGCCCTGTAACTTAGAAAACCGTAGGTTAAGATTTAAGACAGATTGGCCGGTGCCATGGCTCACTAGGCTAATCCTCCGCCTGAGACACCGGCACCCGGGGTTCTAGTCCCGGTCGGGGCGTCGGATTCTGTCCTGGTTGCCCCTCTTCCAGGCCAACTCTCTGCTGTGGCCAGGGAGTGCAGTGGAGGATGGCCCAAGTCCTTGGGTCCTGCACCCCATGGGAGACCAGGATAAGTACCTGGCTCCTGGCTTCGGATTGGCGCAGCACACCGGCCGTGGCAGCCATTTGGGGGGTGAACCAATGTAAGGAAGACCTTTCTCTCTGTCTCTCTCTCTCTCTAATTCTGCCTGACCCCAAAAAAAAAATTTTTTAAGACGGATAGGTAATATAAAACAATGCCCAAAAATTAACATATAACAATGTCTCAAAACATAATACAAATATGTCAAAAGATTAAAAAAAAAAAAGTAATGACTTTAAAGGTCAGTTGGTGGATATTAAAGAATGTGACCCAGTAACAAACTGATAAAAACAAATTTAGAATTTTTACCACTTGAAAACTGCTTTTAGAAGAAAGACAAAGAAAAGAAGCCAAAAAGCAACAAAGGGGCATTCAACACCTAAAGTTTCAACCTAGACGCTGACATCTATTTCAGTGACACTGATAAGAGCACAAACTGATGGGAAATCATTTAAAAAGCTGTAATCTAATTAGATACAGATTATACATATCTGAAACTAAAAGATGATTCTAGAACTGACCCTTGGGAGAGCTGGCAGGGCAGGTCTCCCTAGGATCAGAGTCCCAGATTGATTGCCTCAAGCCATGAAAAGCCTTTAGTAGCACCTCCAGAGAGCATTCAACACTGAAATTTTCCAAAAACATCCAATGTGAAAATGGTTTGAAAACCAGGATACTGATTTTTCCTTAAGAGTCTTCAATTTTAAAAGTAATCATCTATAAAAGTTATCAAGGCTCATTCCAATCTTTGTTTTCCACATGACAACAACCCTTCCAAGAATTTTATAATGCTGAGAGACCTAATCTGGAAAATGAAGACTCTCAATTAGATACACCTGAAAAATTTAAGACCGTACCTTAATAGCCATCTTATTTGATAAATATATCCTGAATACTACCCACCACCACAAATTTGCTTTAAATGACCCAGGGTACAGGTATTCCTTTACTACCGCCAATTCTTGTTAATAAACTCATCAATGTCACTACCATTTTCACCTTTTTACAAATTCTCCTAGAGGGCCAGTTACACTGTACTTACCTGAATCTGAATAGGAAGATTCTCTTTGACTGTGTTTAACAGGGTCTCTGTGGGTTTGTCTTTGCACATTAAAACCAGCTCCAAGTCCATATCATCTTTAATCAGCAAGCCCTTTGCGACCAAGCCAATCCTCATTACACCACACAATGTCCGACCACCTTGATCCCTAAAAATAAAAGTCTGTATGATTACTTTTACAACCTGTTCCCCAAAGTATAACTTATTCATCACCTGGTTTCCTGGATATCCACATGAATTGAGAAGGAATTAGTAAATCCAGACGTTCAAATCCACAGAATTAAGTCTAAGACTTATAGTTCATAAGGTATCTACTGTCTCCCAAGGACTCAAGAGGGAACATATTTCAGACTACAGTTTTCTAATTCCCTACTACATCTGATATTACTTAACAAAACCCCAAAATACCAGCACCTCCTTAAACAATTTTTCAAATTGTTTTTTTCAAACTTCCTTCTATTATTTTTTAGTGGTAAATAAGAATCTAAAACAAATATGAACGACTTGATATACAGAGAAAGCATCAATGTAGAAATCTAAAAACCCAGGTACTGCCCCTGGTGGTGCCTGCTTGCCTGGCACCCACAACTATAAAGAATGTTCAGCTGGATGAGCTAAGGTACCTCTCAGCTGTATCATTTTAGGAATTCACAAAAGTTGAAGGGGGAATCAAAATGTAATAAGAGATGAGGAAGGAAAGAACGGACTAAATATAACCTGTCAGCGTGTATATTCCAAATCCAGAAGTAGTTAAAAAGCAAGCACTCAAAGATCATCAAATTATGAGCAGTACCTAAGAAAAATATTCATCTGTCCTTGATTTTAGCTCTAAAAGCTTCTGACTGGCTCCTTTTTCTTAATCATAGGTGAAAATAACAACTAAGCTTTGCAGTCACTAAAAACACACAAAGGAGATCCTTCTTCCCTAAGTCCTAGTAACAGGGGCAGTAAAGATTAAGTATCCTACCTAGAAGAGGAGGAGAAAGCAACCTCTGAGAACAAACTGCAGGCTGCATATAGCAATGTGAACCTCAGAAAAGTTAGCTATTCAAGTTCACAGAGTAGCACAACAAAGCCTGAATTTAAACCCAAGCTGGTTTAATCACAACACTCAAGTTCCTTACAATATATGGTTGATTCCCAAATTCAGAAAGGGAGAGGTCAAAATGAGGTCAAGCAAGGCAATCTACAAGTTTGACTTAAGCAGTCTGGGAGAACAGGTCATTTTAGCTGGAGGAAAAGAATCAGCAAAGTTGGGCAAAAGGCAGTGGAGTTGAGAATAAAATGGAGAAGGAAGACAAACTCTGGCAGTGGAAACTAAACAGGAAGTTACAAATAATACAGCCCCTGACTCAATGCCTGGCATACCATAGAGATTTGATAAACATTTGATCAATAGAAAATGATATACATTATACAAAAATAAAAAAAAAAAAAAACATTTTAAAGCAAGTGATCCAAATGCAACCAACTGTTTGGTATACAGAGTAGCAGTCATCTCATATTCTTTCTTCCTCTGTCCTTGTCTTTGTATCCTCTCATTTTCCCAAATCTTAATAATGGTTTACACATTTATCTTCCATTATCACTCTCAAATCACTGCCTTGTAACTTGTTTCTTCAGGCTCTTATAGCCTCTCACATAAACTACCTCAGTAACATCTTCTTCATTGTTTTTTTTTTTGGATGGGCAGAGTGGATAGTGAGAGTGAGAGAGAGAGAGAGAGAGAGAGAGAGACAGAGAGAAAGGTCTTCCTTTGCCGTTGGTTCACCCTCCAATGGCCGCCGCACAACCCTGATCCAATGGCAGGAGCCAGGTACTTATCCTGGTCTCCCATGGGGTGCAGGACCCAAGGACTTGGGCCATCCTCCACTGCACTCCCTGGCCACAGCAGAGAACTGGCCTGGAAGAGGGGCAACCGGGACAGAATCCGGCGCCCCAACCAGGATTAGAACCCGGTGTGCCGGCGCCGCAAGGCGGAGGATTAACCTAGTGAGCCGCGGTGCCGGCCATCTGAATCACTTTTTTCCTAAGCAAATTTGAAGCAGTAGAAATTTCATAAGCAAAATGAGGGTGGAGAAAGGGGGATAATGATAACATTGACTACTAGGATTGTTTTAAGATGATGGGGGGTGGGGGGCAGCACTGTGGCTTAGCAGGAAAGGCCGCCGCCTGCATGCCTGTATACCAAATGGGCGTCGGTTAGAGTCTTGGCTGCTCCACTTCCAATCCAGCTCTCTGATGTGGCCTGGGAAAGCAGTGCAAGATGGCCCAAGTTCTTGGGCCCCTGCACCCACATGGGAGACCTGGAGGAGGCTCCTTGCTCCCAGCTTCAGATCAGCACAGCTCTGGCTGTTGCAGCCAATTGGAGAGTGAACCAGAGGATGGAAGACCTTTCTTTCTCTCTCTGCCTTTCTGTAACCCTGCCTTTCAAATAAAATAAATAAATCTTTAAAAAAAAAAAAAAGAAGAAGAAGAAGAAGAAGAAATGAGAGGCCATCCCCTGGGATGTCAGCATCGCATATGGGTTCTATTTCAAGTCCCAGCTGCTCCACTTCCAATCCCATACCCTGATAATGACCTGGAAAAGCAGTGGAATATGGCCCAAGTACATGGGTCCCTGCACCCACATGGGGGACCCAGAAGAAGTCCTGACTTTGGACCAGCCAAGCTCTAGTCGTTGCAGCCACCTGCGGAATGAACCAGCGGATGGAACATCTGTCTCCTCTTCTCTCTCTCTAACTCTTACTTTCAAGTAAACAAATCTTTTTAAAAAAAGATATGAAAAATAATTTGTTACCGTAACTGGCACTCAGTAAATGGAAGTTATTATTAGCTACCCATTATCAACTCACATATTAAGTTCTAAATCATAATTTTTATATACTTGGTCTTATCATGCCACATGAAGAAGACAGCATGATTAAAGAGAGAAACCAAGTCCCAATTCAAACAATGTAAATATAACAATTATTGTAGAACAAGCAATCCAAATACAATTATTTAAAATAAGGACAGAGGGGCTGGCATTGTGGTATAGTGGGTTAAGCTGCCACCTGGGACACCAGTATGGGTGCTGGTCCATGTTGCCGCTGTTCCACTTCCTATCCAACTCCCTACTGATGTGCCTAGGAAGGCAGGTGAGGATGGTCTACATGCTTAGGCCCGCAGCACCCACATGGGAGACTCAGAAGCTCCTGCTCCCAGCTTCCCAGTTGGCTGGTGAGGACACATAGGGGAATGAACCAGCAGATGGAAGATTCTCTGTAACTCTTCCTTTCAAATAAACAAATAAAATCTTTTAAAAAGTAGAAATGAAACAAGATTAAAGGTAGATTCCTAATAATATAAATTGGAGAACTTCCAACAATGTATTTGATTTTGGAATCAGTGTTTTTTAAAAAAAAAAAAACAAAGGTTAAAAAAGCATAGGTAAGAGCTGACTAACCATACTTGGCAGTAGAAGGTACGTAAGAATCATAAGCTAGCCCTCACCCAGCTTTGTGCCCTTTGAAGTGCTCAGCACACTCCAGGATCACAATATAGGTCTACCCCTAGAACACAGCTCTGTTTTTTGGAAGCCATACCTGCCTCAGTTCTATAAAAATTAAGAACAGAAACATTCTGCATTTCTTGAGTTCTGCCACATGGGAAGAAGTGCTGAATGTGGGTCCTGTTCCACAAAAGAACACTTTGCACAGACAACGAAGAGCATCCACACATACAGCTATATTTAAACAACAAAACAAACAAACAAAAGTGTGAAACATATTTTCCTTTAAAAACCTTTAAAACAATTACCTCATCCATTTAAGTAAAATCTATAGGAATGCTTTCAAAAAGTACACTAGCCCTGAGAAGAAACACTATTAAATGTATTGAAAAGGTCTAGGGGCCGGCGCTGTGGCACAGTGGGTTAACGCCCTGACCTGAAGCGCCAGCATCCCATATGGGTGCCAGTTCTAATCCTGGCTGCTCCTCTTCCTATCCCGCTCTCTGCTATGGCCTGGGAAAACAGGAGAAGATGGCCCAACTCCTTGGGCCCCTGCACCCACGTGGGAGACCCAGAAGAAGCTTCTGGCTCCTGGCTTCGGATAGGCGCAGCTCCAGCCATTGCAATCAATTGGGGAGTGAACCCTCGGATGGAAGATCTCTTTCTCTTTCTGCCTCTCCTCTCTATGTGTAACACAGACTTTCAAATAAATAAATAAATCTTTAAAAAAAAAAAAAAGAAAAAGAAAAGATCCAAACTCCATAGGTTTAGTAAAATGGCTAAAATAGTAAATCTTATGTTGTGTGTGTCTGTGCCTATGTGTGTAAAAAGCACAACAAAATGTTTAAAAAAACATAAACATGTATCAATATACAATTTAAGTAGGGAGTACATGACTATTTTACTTATACAAGAACTGAGATACAAGGCCAGGTCACTCAAAAATATTACTAGTTAATTTGAACTTCAAATTTGACAGCATTTTTAAGGCCATCATATATTGAATAACTGAATTATTTCCAAGAACCTTCCCAATGACAAGACTATGACCAGATATAGTGTATAAATTACCTACAGTTAACAAATTATATTGTTTAGCTAAAAAGTGACTTTCATCTGAAAATGGAAAGACTGCACTATCTTTCAGTGAAGAAAATCAATTTTTCACTACTTTCTCACTTTTCTTTATCTACTTATCACATTTACTTAAAACGGAAAGCTGGAGAAAAAATTCTGTAATCTCTTTCTTCTGTTTATAAGTTGTTGCCAAGTTATACACTTACTCCAATCTAGTGATACTTCTCAAATAATACCTTTAAGCTTACCATAGCATAAAAAGTTTCATGACCTCACTCTGGTTAACATGACAGCTTCATCTCACTAACACTACTTTTACTATAGCATTAAGAACACTCTACTGTAACTACTGAAGGGTCTGCCAACCACTAAACCTTCATTCACCCACAAACACACAGTGATTAAAATGTGCCACATACACTGTGCTAGATCCTAGAAAACAACAGGTAAATATAATCAAAAATACCTTTAAAATACATTATCCTACACTTTTCCTTCTACTCTAATACTTCCAACTGTGTAACAAAATGGTATTTTATTATTTCTCCAGATATGAAAAACACTACTATTTATCTCAAAATTTAGGAGGCTGAATTAACACAGGAAAAAGATGAGATATCATAACCTTCAAATGTAAAGATTTTAAAGGACATGCTCTTTATCTGGCTCTAGTCATTATTCAGACCTCATCGTAACGTTTACCTTCTTGGTTCTAATCAGATACACACAGAGAAAGCCCCAAGAACAGCATATAACAAACCCTTGCCTGGCAGACCCCCAGGCTTTTCTGCACTTCAGTAAAGCCCCACAAAGGCCACTCCACACTCACTTGGAATAGTTTTCTACGGCCTCATCTTTCTTCACTTCTGTTTCACCCTCTATTTTTGTGCCTTTATTTGTTTCATCCAGCCAATCTGAGACATGTTTAAGAGCACATTCAACAGTAGACACCATATTCTGAACCGCTTCAAGTTCTTCTGGAGACGGATAGATTGTTGAATGCTTCACCATAACATGGCGATCATCATTGGCAAAAGATCGAATAGATCTCTGTCAGAAGGAAACAGAAAATGATTACTTCAACAAAAGAAACATTACCTGGAAGAAATGATGGACATTTGCAGTGGTTAAGATATGGATCAGGACCCCCGCATCTTGTATCATAGTGCCTATGTTCAAGTCCTGGCTCCATTCCCAGTGCACACCTAGAAGGCAGCAGGTGATGGCTCAAGTGGTTGGGTCTCTGCCACTCACGTGAGAGACCTGGATTGAACTCCCAGCTCCTGGCTTCAGCCTGGCCCAGCCCTAACTGTTGTGGGCATTTGAAGAGTGAACCAGTAGATGATAAATGTCTGTTTCTTTCTCTCTCCTCTCTCTCTCTCTCTCTCCTCTCTCTCTCCGTCTCTCTGCCTTTCAAATAAAATAAGTAAACTTAAAAGTAAGATGACAAATATTTTAATTCAACTAACAGCATTAATTATCAAATCATTGTGAAGTAATGTTGTGACACTTTCTTGGAACTGGGGATAAAATCCCATTCTATTGGACTCAACAGCAGAAAATATAAAATTATCCACCATGTTTCGGTGAGGTTCATCTAGGCCACACTCAGGGTTACCTATGTATACACTGTCTATTTTAGCTGAGCCTACACATTCTGAATAAAACTTCAAAAAAGGTCACATTATCACACAACAGCTGCAAGAAACAGACACTAGTTTTCAGAGTCTCTAGAAACGCATGATGATGATTCAGTATGCAGCCATTCATTTTCAAGCTGCGGGAGACTTTTGCACCTTACAAAGCTGAGATTTCATAATACCTTAATAACACAAAATACAAAAGCTACATGTGAACTATGGAAAACATGGGAATGTGGCCTATTACTTGACATTTCAAACTTTTGCTCTGAGGCTTTAATTTCTAAAGCACGTGAGAGACATTCCAAATTTTAGATAGCGTAAAACACACACTGCAAACCAACCAACTTCCGATGCTAATTTATAAATAATCAAGACTACCTCAGGACTGATTTTCTTAAACTACAACAAAAATAATTTTAAAGCACACATGGGGAGAAAAAAATTACTATCAAAAAATACAGTACAGGGCCAGCATCCCATATGCACACCAGTTCAAGACCCTGCTGCTCCACTTCCAATCTGGCTGCCTGCTAATGTACCTGGGAAAGCAGAGGAAGATGGCCTAAATGCTTGGGCTCTTGCACCCATATGGGAGACACAGAAAAAACTCCTGGCTCCTGGCTTCAGACTGGTCCAGCCCCAGCAGTTGCAGCCATTTGGGGAGTAAGCCAGCAGATGGAAGCTCACTCGCTTGCTCGCTCGCTCTCTCTCTCTCTCCCTCTCTCCCTCCCCTCTCTCTCCTAAGTCTGCCTTTCAAATGAATAAAAAATAAATCTTTAGAAAAAAAAAGAAATACAGTACAAAGATGGATGGGTGGTACCATTATGCTAAAACAAAATATCAAAAAAATTTAAAAAGCAATAATTAAAATGACACGCTGGCCCAGAAATCAGTAGAGCAGACTAATACCCAGAAATAGGATGAGTTTCATGAAAATTTAAGAGTAGATCATTCACACTCATGAGTCACACATCTAAAACCTTATGAATATTTCCAAATTCACAAAATGTCATGAAGGCTTGTACCACAGCAAAATGAACAAGGATAACTTAATGAGTTTTACATAAAACTTAAGTACTCCATTTAAAGAGTAGCTATAGTGTCTTCATGTACCTGAAATTATGTGCTAAAAAGATGCTAAGTATTTTGAAATTACAACCATAAAATAAAACATTAACAATTTTTTAACAGTCTTTGCCTCTTTTGTTTTTGTCTTGCAGAATATCAACATTTTAAAAATCATATTCATTTAGAAACTAGTAAATTAACATTAAGGTGTTACTGACCCTTCTAAGCAAACTGTAACTGAAAAGTTATCCTATTTTCTTAATATTTACTTTAGTTCACTTGAAAGGCAAAGCAACAGAAAGACAAACATATTCCAGCTGCTTGTTTACTCCCAAATGCCCATAACAACCAGGGCTGGCCCAGGTCAAAGCCAAGAGCCTGGAAAGAAATTTTTATCAACTATGACAAATATATATAAATGTTTTCGGGGGCAACACTATAGCATAGCAGGTAAAGCTGCTGCCTGCAGTGCCGACATCCTATATGGGTGCTGGTTCGAGTCCCAGCTGCTCTACTTCCGACTCAGCTCTCTGCTGTGGCCTGGGAAAGCAGTGGATGATGGCCCAAGTCCTTGGGCCACTCCACCCGCATGGGAGACCTGGAGGAAGCTCTTGGCTCCTGGCTTCGGATTGGCACAGCTCGGCCATTGAGGCCATTTGAGGAGTGAACCAGAGATGGAATATCTCTCTCTCTCTCTCTCTCTGTGTGTAACTCTTTCAAATAAATAAATCTTTTAAAAAATAATATATGTATATGTATTTATCTGCTTGGGGGCCAGCACTGTGGCATAGTTAAGCCTCCATCTGCAGCACCAGCATCCCATATGGGCACCAGTTTGTGTCCGTTCTGGCTGCTCCTCTTCTGATCCAGCTCTCTGTTTATGGCCTGGGAAAGAGCAGTGTCTGTAACTCTGGCTCTCAAATAAATAAATCTTTAAAAAGAAAAAAAAAAAAGATTTATCTGCTGGTTCACTGCCCATATGGTCGCAACAACTGGAACTGGATAAGGCAGAGGCCAGGAAACAGGAACTTCTTCCGGAACTCCCACGTGGGTGGCAGGTGCCCAGGTACTTGAGCCATCTTCTGTTACTTTCCCCAGGCCATTAGCAGGAACCAGAGTTGGAAGCAGAGCAGCCAGGACTCAAACCAGCATGGGTGCTATCATCGCAGACAGCAGCTTTACACACTATGCCACACGCTGGCCCCCTCATTTCTTATATTTCTTTTAAAATATTTTATATATTTGGGGGACAACACTGTGGCTCACTTTGCTAATCCTCCACCTGTGGCGCCAGCATCCCATATGGGCACCGGGTTCTAGTCCCAGCTGCTCCTCTTCCAGTCCAGCTCTTTGCTATGGCCTGGGAGGGCAGTGGAGGATGGCCCAGGTCCTTGGGCCCGTGCACCTGCATGGGAGACCAGGAAGAAGCACCTGGCTCCTGGCTTTGGATCAGCGCAGCGCCGGCCGTAGCAGCCATTTGGGGGGTGAACCAACAGAAGGAAGACCTTTCTCTCTGTCTCTTTCTCTCACTAACTCTACCTGTCAAATGAGTTAAAAAAAAAAATTTATATATTTGAAAGACAGAGTTACAGAGAGAGGCAGAGCCAGAGAGAAAGAGAGAGGTCTTCATTCCGACTACAATGGCCAGAGCTAAGTTGATCCGAAACCAGGAGCCAGGAGCTTCCTCCAGGTCTTCCACATGGGTGCAGGGACCCAAGAACTCAGGCCATCTTCTACTGCTTTCCCAAGCCATAGCAGAGAGCTGGATCTGAAGTGGAGCAGCCGGGACTCAAACCAGCACCCATATGGGATGCCGGCACTGAAGGCTGGGGCTTTAACCCGCTGCGCCTCAGCGCCAGCTCCCACCATTTCTTATTTAATATATATATATATATACATATACATATACATATACATATACATATACATATATATGTATGTTTGAAAGGCAGAGTTACACAGAGAACATGAGGGTGGAAGGCTGAGGGGACAGAAAGAGAGAGACCTTCAATCAACTGGTTTGCTCCCAAAATAACTGCCCACAGCCAGGGCTGGACTAAGCTGAAGCCAGAAGCCAGGAATTCCATCCTGGTCTCACAAGTAGATGGCAAGGGCCCAAGGACTTGGGCCATCCTCCGCTGCCTTCCCAGGACCACTAGCATGGAACAGGACTGGAAGTGGAGCAGCCAGGACTCAAACAGGTACCCGTATGGGATACAGGTGATGCAGTCCATTATGCCACACAACGGCCCCTAAACATTTCTTTTAAAATATAAGAATACCAAGGCAGTAACAGAAGAGCTGAAAAGGCAAATAATTCACATTTAAGGAAACTCAGTTCACTGTGGTTTTTTCACATTTTACTATAAAATTAAAATAACAACATTTTTCCCACCATCAAGATCTCAAATATTAGAATTTTTGTTAAGAATAAGATGACTATACTACAATCCTAGGCACAAATATTCTAAAAAGCAAGTAACATTTAAATAACTACCATCAGGCCAGTTAAATAACATATCCCGAACATCCTGATAATTATTATTTTGTGCTCTTTCACCTAATTATGTCTTTTTAAAATATTTTCTCATTTGGAGAAAAAATTCACACATCATTCTACAGAACCAAAATACTAGGGGAAAATTCAGTGCTTTCAGCAAATGAAAATCTGGCGGTGGGGAAGTCGTTTGGTGCAGCAGTTATCACTGTTTGGGACGCCCTCGTCCTATTTTGGATTATCTGGTTCAAGTCCCGACTACTCTGCTTCTGATTCAGCTTCCTGCAAATGCACACCCCATGGTTTGACAGATGGCTCAAGAACTTGGGACCCTGCCACTTATGTAGAATTCTGGGCTTCTGGCTTCAGCTTGGTACAGCTCTGACTGGTGTGGAAATTTGGGCAGTGACCCAGCTGATGTAAGTTCTTTCTGAGTCTGTTTGTCTCTTTCAAATAAAATATAAAATTTTTTAAAGTTAAAAAAAAAAAAAACATGTTAGGGTGTGGGGAGGTAGTGCACATTTGGCCTAGTAATTATGACAGAAATTAGGATGCCGGCATTCCACCTCAGAATGTCAGGACTCAATCCTTGGTTTCAGTTCCCAATTCAGACTGTGGGAAGCACCAGGTGATGGCTCACGTAGTTAAATCCCTGTCATCTGGGGCCAGCACTGTGGTGTAGTGGGTAAAGCCGCTGCCTGCAAGGCTGACATCCCATATGGATGCCGGTTTGAGTTTCGGCTGGTCCACTTCCCATCCAGCTCTCTGCTATGGCCTGGAAAAGCAGCAGAAGATGGCCCAAGTCTTTGTGCCCCTGCACCCACGTGGGAGACCCGGAAGAAGCTCCTGGCTCCTGGCTCCAGATCAGCTCAGCTCCCGCCATTGTGGCCATTTGGGGAGTGAACCAGCGGGATGGAAGACACCTCTCTCTCCCTCCCTCTGTCTCTGTCTCGTCTCTGTTTTTCCTTCTCTCTGTGTGTAACTGTGACTTTCAAGTAAAATAAATAAATCTTTAAAAAAAAAAAATCCCTGTCACCTACACGGGACACCAGGATTAAGTTCCTGGCTTCCAGCCTCAGCTAATGCAGGCATTTGGGGAATGAATCAGCAGATAAGAGTTCTGTCTCTCAAATTAAGAAACACTAGACCTCAGAGGTTATGCCTACATCTAATATCACAAATTTAAGTTTGAACTCTTCACAAAACTCACAGTGCTTCTTATACACCAATATTTGACCCTATTATTTTAAAGCATGTAAAATAGGTGACTTTTGTGGGCTAAACACACATTTTATAAACTCCCACATCATTCATATAAGTAATTAAAAATTGGTTCAGGGTCTTTAACTTCCACAGGAAACAACTTCAGGTAGGAAACTAGAGAAAAAAGCTTAATTTTGAGTTCAAGGTCACTTGCCTAGTGCCAACTGTATTTGAAGATATTACTTATGAGCATTCCTTCCTTTGTTTTTAATAATTTATGGACTGCAGACTCATGGGGCTCCATCTTGTGGTTTAAAGGGCTCATAATAAATCTGAACGCATTTGCTTTGCTTAAATAGTAAAGTGCTATCTTATCCGATGCACTAGAGCCAAAAATTAACACCAGTGCTGTTCACTCAATCTCAATGTTAACACTTGCAGTTTTAAATTAGTGGAATATGTATAGCTAAATTAAGGAAATATAAACAACCTACCATGGTTTTCTATGGTATCTTTGCTTTTTCTTCCGATCCTTTCCCCTCTTTCTTGTCGTCTTCACTAGACACTGTTTTGTGTGACAGTACCTCCTCATAAGCCTGAGTCCCTTGATAGCTCAGTGTCAATATAGCAAAGAGGTCTGAAGTCTGGAATACACCTATAAAAGAAGTGGAAAAACAACTTTTCAAAAATGTTTATTTACAATTTGCTTCCAATCGGAGTGTGAAGCCCATGACCATGTTACGGGTTTAAAAGAAACTTTACAGAGGAAAATCACCTCATTCCCAACAAAAAGCTAACCTATATTTTGAAAGCCTGAGCCCAATAAGCTGACTGATGGGACAGAAAAGTAACCTTCCTGGTAGCCACAATGTGACTGCTGGCTGACTTGCCCTCTATGAGATAACTGTAATTGCAGACACAGATTTAGTTATTAAGAAGAGCCAACTAAAACAGTAATGCCACTTCTGGTAGTAGCAATGATGTTATAATTAACCACATATTTTCAATTAGAAATTGGTATCACTTAGACCTCTATGAAAATTCGACAAACCATTTAAAAATACAGCAATACTACCAAAGGTAACATTGACTGTGCCATAATGCTTTGCCATTAAGATAGACAATTTATGTTGGCATGTTTGTTCTTTAATTACTTTTAGGCCTAAAATTCTGAATGTTTGTCTCCGCTCTCCTAACTCCCAAGATACACTCCTTCAACTTATATGCACTTCTGTGTCAGATTCCTGAATATATAGATCTTTACTTCATTACTTCTTAGATTTCCCCAACTGGAATCCCACATTATATTTCTACCAAGAGGCCTAGTCATCATTCCGTTACCCACTTATTTCATCTTTATGAGATTTGATTCCAGATAGGGTAAAAGTAAACTTTTCTGATGATTATATATTATAAACCCAAATGCTAAATAAAAGTGGAGGAATGAGGACAGAAACTAATATCAGACTAGAAGACATACTTTATATAGTTATCTCACATATCACATTTATATCACATATCATATATATTCACAAAGAAAATCGCTTTCTCTTCATTGAAATCTCTTTAGGTTTAAATTTTCTTTATAAACAAAGAAATCCCTGTAAGACTAGCGTCAGTAATAGTTTCTTAATATCAGCTGTTCTTTCTTTTGCTACTTTCTTGGACTACTAGTCTTCTCTTTAAAAGAGAAAAAGGGGGCTGGCACTGTGGTATAGTGGGTAAAGCCACAGCCTGCAGCACCAGCATCCCATATGGGCACCAGTTTGAGACCCAGCTGTTCCAATTCTGATCCAGCTCCCTGCTGATGCACCCAGGAAAGCAGTGGAAGATGGCCCAAGTGCCCGAACCCCTAGACCCACATGAGAGACCCAGGAGAAGCTCCTGACTTCAGAGTGGTCCAGCCCCGGCCATTGCGGCCATTTGGGGAGTGAACCAGCAGATGGGACAACTCACCCTCTCGTGAGTGCGCTCATGCTCTCTCTCTCCTCTCCTCTTTCTCCTCCTCTCTCTCTGACTTTAATTTTTTTTTAAAGGTGGGGGGTACCTATTTGAAAAGCAAAGTAACAGAGAGATCGCTTATCTACTTGTTCACTCCCCAAATACCCACAATAGTCAGGGGTAGGCCAGGCCAAAACCAGGAGCCAGGACTCTGTCCAGGTCTCCCACACTGAATGGCAGGAACTTAAGTACTTGGGCTGTCATGTGCTGCCTCCCAGGCACATTAGCAGGGAGCTGGAGATCTGAAGCATAGGATCCAGGACTTAAACCAGGCTCTTGGTTATGGGATGTGGACAATGTTGTAGCTTAACCCAACACTCCACAATACCTGCCCCCAGCTGCTTTCTTAGAGTCTTTTTTGGGGGTCAGCGCCGTGGCATAGTGGGTAAAGCCACCACCTACAGTGCCGGCATCCCATATGGATGCCAGTTCGAGTCCTGGCTGCTCCACTTCCAATCCAGCTCTCTGCTATGGCCTGGGAAAGCAGTGGAAGATGCCCCAAGTGCTTGGGCCCTGCACCGGCGTGGGAAACCCAGAAGAAGCTCCTGGCTTCAAATTGGCACAGCTCCAGCCGTTTCAACCAACTGGGGAGTGAACCAGAGGATGGAAGACCTCTCTCTCTCTCTCTCTGCCTCTCCTTCTCTCTCTGTGTAACACTGACTTTCAAGTAAATAAATAAATCTTTAAAAAAAAAATAAAGTCCTTTTTGAATTTTGGGGGCCAGGAACATACTGATGTGACATTTAACTCTCAGTACTTCAAACAGAAACAAAGAACCACGACTGCAGTAAAATGACATTCATCAGTGACTTACATGCACAACTATGGATGTCCCACAACCAACTTCCCCAGCTGCTTCACAAGCTCCACCACAGTAAGATAAGGAAGCCTGAGAAGGAAGAAGGAAGAGCATGCAACTGAGCAGGTGCTAGTGACAACAACTTACTCTATTACACAATTTCACACCGAAGCAAAGATGCATAAGTACAACTAGCCAAAACGACAATTCAGTGTCCTTTTGGACAATCAAGAAACACAAATTGAAACATGATCCCATGGTAAGAGATATCTCAGAAATATTGTTGTCACTAAAATTATAACTTCTATACAATAACTACTACACAACTTAATAAAATCTTCAGCTACCTCCCATTCCCGATCCTGCTTCATTCAGTCATTTAGTACTTAACTATGAATCCAGCCGCCAAAAAAGACTACCACATATACAACTGAAAGTCCATAAGCTTTACTCTGTGAAACGTGAAGCAATAAAGCGATCATATTAAGAAGGTAGAGGGGCTGGCACTCTGGTGCAGGTTAAAGCTCTGACCTGCCATTGTGGCCATTTGGGGAATGAACCAGTGGATGGAAGACCTCTTTCTCTCTCTCTGTCTCTACATCTCTCTGTAACTCTTTCAAATAAAAAATAAAATAAAATAAAATAAAATAAAATAAAATAAAATAAAATAAAATAAAGTAAGGTAGATCACAGGGTCAGCATTGTGCAGTGCTTTAAGGCCCAGGCCTACAGTGCCGGCATCCCATATGGGCACCAGTTCAAGTTCCAGCTGCTCCACTTCTGATCCAGCTCCCTGGTAATGTGCCTGGAGAAGCAGCGGAGAATGGCCTTAGTCCTTGGGTCCCTGCATCCATGTGGGAGACCGAGAAGAAGCTCCTGGCTCCTGGCTTCCGACTGGCTCAGCTCCAGCCATTGCAGCCATATGCAAACTGAACCAGTGGATGGAAGACCTGTGTGTGTGTGTCTACCTCTCTCTGTAATTCTTTCAACTAAAATAAACTTTTAAAAAAGAGAGAAAGAGGAAGAGAGTATATTGCAAGCAAACAAACTTCTGATGTAGTGTGGAAATCATACATCATCTTTCTAAAAGTACCATACTGTGCAGTCATTTAGTACACAGTACCCTACACATATATCATGTACCTCTGCAAACTTCAGAGTCTGACAGCGTAGTGCAATAATTCATGCCATAAAAGCAAGCACAGTATTCAAAATCAAATTGGTCAGTGCTATAAAAATGAACTTTGTGATCATCTGATCCAGCCCCACCCTCAGTTTACAAATGAAACAGAATCAGATATTAAGATCACACCATTAACCAGGGACAAGGCATGGTTTAATTCCTAAATCATAGTTTAAAGCTTCTTCCCCACTGTACCAATCTGATCCAAAAAAAAAAAAAAAAAGTCAAGTTATATTTGGTATGCTCTAAGCAAATCAGGAAAAAAAAAGCAACAGCTTTTCGGTGTTTTTTTGTTTGTTTGTTTGTTGTTGTTTGTTTTGTTTTTGGACAGGAAAAGTTAGTGAGAGTGAGAGAGTAGGAGAGAGAGAGGCACACACACACAGAGAGAAAAGTCTTCCTTTTCCGTTGGTTCATCCTCCTAATGGCTGCTATGGCCAGCGCGCTGCAGCATTCCGAAGCCAGAAGCCAGGTGCTTCTTCCTGGTCTCCCATGTGGGTGTCGGGCCCAAGGACTTAGGCCATCCTCCACTGCACTCCCAGGCCACAGCAGAGAGCTGGACTGGAAGAGGAGCTACCAGCACAGAATCCGGCGCCCCGACCAGGACTGGAACCCGGTGTGCCGGCGCCATAGGCAGAGGATTAGCCTAGTGAGCCGCAGCGCTGGCCCAACAACACAGTTTTAAAGAGTCTCTTTTAAACAATGGTCAACTTAGTGGGTAAAATTCTGGCCCTGAAATTTTTTTTAAAAGAATAACTTTGTCATTTAATAGAAAGCTATATGTAACTCAAAGTCATTTCATTTCCTTCAGTTTCCTTATCCTTTATCTATAAACCAGAAACTATTTCCCTGCTAATTAACAAATAACATTTATGGAAGTCAGACTTTGCACTAGCACTGCTCTAAGAGTTTTTAATATACTAACTCATTTAATCCTCACAATAATCTCATTATAGTCTCCATGTAACACACAAGCAAACTAAACTATAAAGAGATAACACAAAAATGGGGCCAACGCTGTAGTATAGTGGGTAAAGCTGCCACCTTTAATGCCAACATCCCATACAGGTGCCAGTTCAAGTCCCAGCTGCTCCACTTCCAAACCAGCTCCCTGCTAATGCACCTGGAAAAGCAGCGAAAGATGGTCCAAGTCTTTGGGCCCCTGCACCCACATGGGAGACACAGAAGAAGTTCCAGGCTTCCGATCAGCCTAACTCTGACCATTGCAGCCATTTGGGGGGTGAACCAGCAGATGGAAGATATCTCTGTCTCTCTCTCTCCCTCCCTCCCTCCCTTTCTCCCTCCCTCCCTCCCTTTCTCCCTCCTTCCCTAAAACTCTGCCTTTCAAATAAAAAATATTAACTGCCTATTCAGTACCTTGGTGCTATGTTAGTAACAGGCTGCAAAGATGAATCAACTCAGAACACTCTAAGGAAAGTAAAAGCAAATAGACATAAATTTAACACTCCCTCATCTCTGCAAATAAATTTTCTCTGCACAGTGGCGTTGTTTCTGTGCAATACTAATGTAAAAAAAAAAAAATACTGAATTTCAGTGTTTTCTTCCAGAAAGTTCCTACATGATGGGGGTGGGGGAGAGGTGGTAGGCAGCGACACATGAGAAGTACCCACACCAGTTTTGAGTTACGGCTGCTCCACTTCCTGTCCTGCTCCCTGTTAATGCTCCTAGGAAAGCAGCAGAAGATGGCCCAAATGCTTGGGCCCCTCCAACCCACATGGGAGACCTGGATGGAGTTCCAGTCTCCTGAGTTCAGACTGGCTCAGTCCCAGAAGCCATTTGAGGAGCAAATCAGCAGATAGAAGATCTCTGTCTCTCCCTCTCTTCTATAGCTCTAATTTTCAAATAAAGAAAGAAAGAAACCTTTAAAGGGGATGGGGGGAGAATGTAATCAGAACCTTACAAAAATAAGAAAGGCAGATGAGAGGTAGGTATTTAAGTCTAGTAGTTAAGATGTCAGTCAAGGGGGGCTGGCACTGTGGAATAGTGGGTAAGGCCACCGCCTGTAGTGCCGACGTCCTATATGGACACCAGTTCAAGTCCTGGCTGCTCCATTTCCGATCCGGCTCTCTGCTGTGGGAAAGCAGTGAAAGATGGTCCAAGTGCTTGGGCCCCTGCACCCGCATGTGAGACCCGGAAGAAGCTCCTGGCTTCAGATCAGCACAGCTCCGGCTGTTGCGGCCAACTGGGGAATGAACCAGAAGATGGAAGACCTCTCTTTCTCTCTGACTCTCCTTCTCTCTGTGCAACTCTTTCAAATAAATAAATGAATCTTTAAAAAAAAAAAGTCAGTGAAGACATCTGTGTCTATTGGAGTCAGCGTTGTGGTATAGCAGGAAAAGCTGCTGCTGCATACAACACCAGCATCCCACACAGGTTTGTCCATATGGTCAGATGGTTCATGCCCAGCCCCCAACCAGTGCACCTGGGAAAGCAGCAGAAGATGGCCCAAGTACTTGGGCCCCTGCCACCCACTTGGGAAACCCAGCAGAAGCTCCTGGCTCCTGACCATTGTTTTTTTAGAAATATATAAATAAAAAGGCATCCGTGTCTCCTATCAGAGTACTTCCTGCTAATGAGGACCCTGTGAAGCAGCAGTGATAGCTGAGGTAATCCAGTTCCTGTAACCCACATTAGAGATCTGGGCTGAGTTCCTGACTCATGACTTCAACTCCAGGCCTGGCCCAATCCCAGCGTTGCAGTGTTTGGGGAGTGAACCAGCAGATCAGAGCTATGCCTGTCTATATATACATATATCTTTCTGCCTCCCAAATAAAGAAATAAGGCATATGAAGACTAAATAAAAAAACTTAAAAGTTAAATATCAATAAACAACTTAAAATTCTGACCAAATAAAAAAATCCAGCTATTCACTTCTAACCAAAACCACCTATAATGATGGAAAAGCTATATCCTACAATCTTGTTGGAAGTTTTTCAATACTGGACAGAGGCCAAAAGGTTCTTTTTCAATGAAAAAGATGATGTACTGGCTGTAATTCAAACCTAAAATACACTGTATGAAGCCAGCTAAGTTGAACTGGAATGCTTTCTGAATATCTACTATTAGTGTGCAAAATGGAAAAGATCTTATTAAGGAGCCAATCAAAAAAGAAGTTAACAATTCATCTTCTGATTGAAATAAAGTCACTAGTCCTTCCCAATCCCTGACACATCTTAATGTGACAGAACAACATTCAGCCAGATGACTTACCAGGTGAAAGAACCAACAATTTAATGCATTTCTACAAGTATACATGGAGAACCTGTCACACTGTAGGCACTGTCCTGAGCACTTTGAATATTAAAAATAAAAATGTTTTTAAAAGGCAAAATCCCTGCCCTGTGGCTTAAGTCTAGCAGAGGGAAAACAACCAAAAGAGAATAAAAAGAAGTAATTTAAAAAGCATTTAAGGGGCTGGCATTGTGGCACAGCAGGTAAAGCTATCACCTGCAAGGCTCATCTCCAACATAAGCAATAGTTCAAATCCCTGCTGCTCCACTTCCGATCCAGCTCCTTGCTAATGTACCTGGGAAAGCTGTGGAAGATGGCCCAAGTGCTTGGACCCCTGTCATCCATATGAGAGACCTGGATGGACTTACAGGATCCTGGTTTCACCTAACCTAGCCCTGGTCATTGCAGCTATTTGAGGAGTGAACCAGCAGATGGACAACCTCTCTCCCTTCCTCCCTTTCCTCTGTAACGTGCCTTTCAAATAAATAATCTTATTAAAACATTACCATTCACACTGATAATTCCTTGTCCTCTCCTGGCAAAACCCCAATTCTGGTTAAATACAACCCTCTTGGCTATACCTTATCAATAGTCCTAAACACAAAATTGTGCTAACTGGTCTTTTTCATCATTGTTAACCACAAAAGTGACAATAATC